CCCCCGCCGGCGGCCGGGCCGGAGCCCGCGTGTCGGAGGGGGGTCCCGGTAGCGGCGGGACCGGAGGTTTGGCGGGTCGCCGTGCCCAGGCGGAGGAGCCGCCCGGTTGGGGCCTGTGGGGAGGCGGGGTCCGTTCGGGGTGGTAGCGGGTGGGTGACCAGCGGGGAGCCGTTCCACGGACACTGCTGAAGGGAGCTGGAACCAGCCACGTCCTAAGCAGTCAGTCCTGCTCTCCGCCACCGGCTGGCTCTGGGTGACACCGGGTCCGGTATTTGCCGCCGTGTAAATTGTAACCTCGGAGGAAGGGCTGTGTGTTCAGCACTGAGTCAAGAGCATCCAGCACAGCCGGCCCGCTCCTTACCCTTCACTGGGGCATATTGCTGACAGATCAGCGTAAATAACAGTAGTAGATACATTCTGAGCAGAGAAGTTCCTGAACCTGCCAAATTAAGACCGTTTTTAATTATGTTCACAATATATCTATCTGTACCCCATTACACACTTCATGTTTACATCCAGTAACTGATGGAGTAACAGAGAATCGTTGCATCTGTATCCTGACTTAGAATACAGCTGTTACTCTAGTCATGCTGAATTTTGTAGGAGGGATTTTTATTGGGTTTTTTTTCTCATCTGGTCAAACAAAAGCTAACATTTCTTCAAAAGTGATATGTATTTTCACAGTCTCTGCTTTCTAAACCTAAATAGAAAATTATTTAGTAAAAGATTGTCTTTAAAGGGGTATTAGACAAGAAAACTGCAGCAATCTAAGTGGAGATCTGGTTTCAAATGAGTCTTTACCTTGTGTATGGCCCTCAGAATCGGTCTGAAATGCCCCGTCACTTCCCTTTGCCAATGGAGTTTTGATTTTCCAAGTTGGTTTCAGCTCTAGTCTGTACAAGTGAACTCAGAATCAGGGAAGAAACTCATGTCACTGTTACATAAAATGCCATTATTACTTCCCTACAGCAATGACGATCATGTCTTTATTGAATCTATTAATCCTCATTAACCAACCACTAGTTCTATTATCTATCATCTGTCTTCTCAGATATCTGAGTGTTAGGGAACCTTCAGCATTCCTACAAGTCTTCTACCTCCACTCCACTTTGCTGTCCTAATTTGCTTTTAAACCAACCGTGTTTCACTTCTAAGGCCAATACTTGTTATTCTGTTCTGTGCATCTTCGATTCACAGAATCAAAAGCTTTTTCTTTCCCCTAACAGTATCCGCTGGCTTTTTTTCTTTATCTCCTCACCGTGGAGCATAACTGCATTTACAAACAGGTAGGTGAGTCCCTGCCTTCCAAGCCCTGAAGCCTCCAAGTTGACCAATTGTAAATTTTCGGGTTTTTTAAGTAAACATGACTAGCATTTTTTGCTCCGTTCTCTAGCACCACCACCACCACCCCACCCCACCCCCAATTAAATCAGTTTTCCCTGCTGCTGGGACCTTTGTCGGCACTTCTTTGTATGCGTGAGTGTGCTGTGTTTCTTGGTATTTGTAAGAAGCCACTGGGACGTCTTGGTGTGTCATCTTTGGGGAAAGAATGGCAGCAAGAAGCTCAGTTCTTAGAGCAGAGCGGTACTGTTGCTGAAGAGGATGAGGGCCGCCTGCGCAAGGCAGGGCTTTCCGAGCAATTGTGCAAGGCTGTAAAAGAGACTCCCCAGGAAAGTTCCCTGACATCTGAGACAGACAGATGTGGTTTTGGAGGGAAACTGCCTTGCAGGTGGAAGGGAAATCCATGGAGCTTTCCAGATGAGGAGAATCGTCCTGTCTCTGGGAATCTCAGCCAAATCTACAGCACGTGACCAATGATTTCGTACAGCCCTCCACCAGGAAACAAGGAACTTCCATCTTCCAAGTGCAGGATGCACTCTTTTCATCAAGCTTTTTGCTGCATGCACATTCAGATTTTAAAACATTAAAAAGCCCAGTCAATTTCCTACCACTGAGAAAAAAATCACAACCGATACATATAATGATGTAGTGTAGAGAAAAGCAGTCCAGGGCAGGACAGCAGAGGCCTTGAGAAGTGGAAGCTCAGGACGCAGCAGAGGAGTACAGGTGTGGGATGAGAAGAGATGGGGCGCATCCCTGGTGCTGGAGACCCCATAGCTACAAACAAGTCACCGTCAGTTAAAGACTCGCAGACCTTGCAGGGCAAAAACAGTTTTCATGGGTAACAAACCAAGTACCTAACACCATGTAAAACACCATATATATTGAATTTAGATGTAACATGGAACCACAAACCCATGAAGAAAGAGCGTGGTGTAAAAGTGTGTTAAACATACAAAAATTACCCCGAATTGATGCTAGAGTGAGGGAGAAGAAAATATCAACAGAGGGAGAAGAAAACAACATCATACTCTTCCTGGCCCATGACTGCAGATGTGATGACTTGCCCTAGCGGCTCCTTACACACACACCAGCATGAAACCACTGACCTTCAGGCCCAGGGGAGCGGTGGAAGTGTGAGCATTACACAGGTGAAGAGGGGTAAAAATGGTAACAGTTTAAAATTAAAATAATTTTAACTGTATTATTATTATTACTTAAACATTTTCTGCATAGAGGCTTGCTTTCTTTTTTCACAATAATTAGTCCCGGATTAATAATGATTCTTAGATTAGGGTAAGATTCAGTTACATGGAAAATAAATTTTGGCTTTAAGTACCAGTTGCGTTTCCTCTTTGCCCATAAACAAGGTTTTCAATGTAACACCAGTGACACCAAGTTCTGAATGATGAGCTGCAGAGTTCCTGGGGGATAAGACCAGTTGGGAATCTGGGGAAAAAAACAACCTGGATTTCTTCATGGTTATAATTGTTCTTTAAAGCAGTTTTGAAATAGTTGGTATCATTGCACTTGGTAGTGGATTCCTAAGAATGTAACAGGGCTAATTAATATACTATATGTTGTATGATAATGAAATGTGTACAGTAATTTTATAGGATAAACAGAATCTTGATTCTTTCCCTCTAGCTATGCCATATTCTAGCTATATGGTGCCAATGTTCATGGGGAATGAGGCAAGGGGCGAAGCATGAAGCACAGACCTCATTCTGCTCGCGCGTGGCAGAGCAGCCATGGGAGCACATTTGGAAAACCCACAGTAGAGGCTCCTGTGATCACCCCCCAGGCCTTGGGGAGGCCAACACATGACTGCCAAGAAGCAAGCAGCTTTCCCTAGGACATTGTTATTTTTTGGTGGTTGCTGAAATGTTCTTTTTAATTCTGGATGTCTGGCCAGGAGCTAAACCAGCCCTGAAGGTGCACTGACTCTTCACAGAGCTTCACCTTCCACACGGCTGTCCTGAGAAGAGCCCAGATAGACTACAGAGCCGGATCCGTCACCTTGTGGTGACTTTTTATGTAGCATATTCTGGTTTTCCACTGTGTGACACTGAGATTGTTGGTGTAATTTGCTTCAACGTGTACTTTTTTTTCTTTGCCCATTAAGTGGAATCCTAAATCATGCTGACATGGGAGACAAATGAGAATAATTCTAATTATCTCTGGGGTTTCAAAGTGGAAAATTAAATTGCAGTGGTAAATATTTGACTTCAGCACTTGCCTCTGGACCCTTTCACCCACTCTATTTTCAAGATTAACCTATGCTTCATATTTTCACTTCTGTCATTTGATGATGTACTCAGTATCTTCAACTCAAAGAAAATCTTTGGCAAACATAAATGGAACTCTTTGCTGGCTTAATTAGTTCAGCATATTAGCATATTAGTAATTCCAACAATTAATTCTAGTTCCGTCATTATTCTTTTTAAAAATCTTTCTTCTTGGATTTCACTGAAAATGGATTTGGAAACAAATGACTATCCCTTTTACATTGTGTCTCAATTGAATAATAACTTAAATTCCCTGCTTCTTTCATTCAAGGATCTGAAAATATTTTCCAAATGTTGATGCAGAAAACACTAAATCCCTCATTGATGAGGGGATTACTGTTATCTTCAGATAAAGAAACTGAGGCACAGTGAGGCTAATTACTAGGATTATTTTGTTAGATTGATGTAATCCAAAAACTGGATAAACACTTAGTCCAAACAAAAAATGAGCATGAGTTGGAGCTGTAGTGGAATTTAAGAACCAGTCACATACAATTGAATAAATCTGTGTGAAATTACTAATTTCCACATCATAAAATTAATTTAACCAGAAATAATTTCAGGTTGCTATATAGTTGTAGGCATGAGACGAATCCTGTGGATGCCTTGAATATGCAGCTCTGTCAAGGCAGCAATATAACTTGAAACTATACTGAAACAGTATTTGAAGAATGAAGTATTCTAAAACCCATTCAGACCTGTCAATGTTAAGCTTTCTGTTCAATTTCAATTTGAGCCCCAGCACATTCGTGATGATGCCGTTAATTACAGGACCAGACGCTGGTTTTGTTCTCAGGATGCTTACTTCATTCAGTTCACAGAACAGACGATACCAAAGGGATTAAAAAAAAACCAACAAAAAACAACTGTTTTCACTATTCTTTAGTTCCCTGTAGGATCCCTCTTGTCCCTCATCCAGGGGATGCATTGAAGATAAAATTTGTTCCGTTCAGAATCCTTCCAGTTTGTCCCCACAGTGCTCTCTCTCTCTCTCCCCCCTCCTTGCCCCATCCCAGAACTTATCCGATAAAGAAACACTACCCGTTCCTTTCACAGATACAGAATGCAGAAATATTTCAGTTAGAATTTGAAAAGAATTGGTGAACATGCCAGTGGTTCGAAGCTGTCCAGTAGCCCTTTGGCGGTGTTGTACGGGGCAAATCAGAGAGCAAACCTTCCCACAGCAGGAGGGTCCTCCCTTACACTTCAGACTGTGAAATCAAGAAGGTGCCCTTCCCCTCTTCCTTTTTAATTTTGGAGACAGTGACACAGACAAGTATTCTATAGAAACTTAATTGAGCATGGTGATGACACGAATTTATTCTAGTCTCACATATCGAAAGCGTTAGTCTGCTTTCAATGGTAAGGAAAAGCCCACCCAAACTACTATAATACATAAAACAAGATGCAATTTACTTTGCAATTAGCTTTATACTTTTTTTCTGTGCAATTACTGGAGATGTTTAGATATGAGCTTTCTTATTTACAAGCAGATTTTAACTAAAGAGTTTAATTATATGCTAAAAGAAAAATGTTTTCTCTAATGTTTTCTTCTGAAACCTGCATTGAATACTTAATGCTCTGTTTATGAGTGTAAAATCTGCTGCTATGGATACAGTGAGGTCAACATTTCAACATTATTATTTTACAGTGCTGTGTTAAAGGACGTGGTAGGATAATATTTTTGTTGCAACAAAAATATCTTAGAAAGTGTAATGTATTTTAAATTCATATGTAAAGCATTTTATTTCCTATTTCTCTTTTAAATACAGGAATTATAACAAGGTCCAGACTGGCAGCTCTGAAGAAACGCCTCACCTGTAATAGAACTTTACTTCCATTTTCACCTGACGCTGTAGAGTGTTTTACAAATATTAATTAAGCTGCACAAAAGTTCTGTGTTAATCCTCAAGGTGACCCCAAAAAGAAAAAGAAAGGGTTTGTACTTTTTACAAAGCATAGGGAAATACTGAATAGCTTTTCCAAAAGAGCTGCAATTTTCTACTTGTTCCATGTAAAAGAAAAATGAGTAATGTCAATTTTTATCTCTCCTGCTTTCTGAAGAACTGCAGAACAATAAATTCTTTTAATTGAAAGAATAAGGCTAAGGAATATCTCCTCCAAACTGGCTATTAGGCAGCTGAGTTAAATCCCCATTCTAACCCAGTTCTAAAATTGTCTTGCAAAAAATACCTTCCCTATCAATTACTCAGTTTTTACTTTCTTTTTATCGTTGTATCATAATCCTTCTAATTTTCTTACTGCCTACAGCATTCCAGAAAAGGCTACACAGAATAAAAAACAGCACAACTTTGAAAAAGCTACACATAACGCAAATACATCCAGTCTTCCTTCTTTTATAGGACTAAAGAAAAATAGCAGAAAACCTAACCCCATTTCTTCCTGTTACTGATCACATTTAAGATGCTTATTATGCTGAATCTTTTACCTCCCTCTCTCTCCTTTCATAAAAGAAACTTCACTGGTAAACTGGGTAACATTGCTCTGAAAAGCACAAGCCACAGTAAATCTGCAATTTCCAAACAGCTCAAAATATTTTATGATTTCATCACTGGGCTGCAGCACAGCGAGAGCCTGACTGAAGCGAGAGGGGCTGGCGTTTCAACCCAACAGTTTATTTTTCACAGAAACTGAACCCAGGAAGGGTAACTGAGTCCTGAATTTTCACAGCTACACAGAAGCATAGCTGGTGACAGAACAAGTCTCACAGCACTCCCGCCCAAACGCCTTGGGGTTTTTGCTGTTTGATGCAAACAAATTATTGCAACTAGCAAAGTGCCTGGCCTCGTGGTGTGAGCAAAACCAAAGGGCCGTGAGCTCTCAGTCCTGAATCTTACTGCACTCTCCTGTGTGGCCTTGTTCAATTGACTCACTTTTTCATGTCAAAATCCCCATCTGTAACACTGGACACACATATGTCCTCAAGTGGTTGTTGTTAGGACTCCTTAGGGTTTCTTCAGTGCTTTAAAATAATGTTTACAACATTGACAACGTAAGCAGAGGTCTTGTTAGCATTTCAGAATGATGTCCAAAGATATTCTATATAGTACCATTTTATTTTTTAAACTGGCTTTTTTTTTTCCAGACAAATGCTTTGAAATTATGGAGACATCTGAACGATCATTTCAACAACCTGTGATGTGTGATGTGTTTTTCTTTAACAAAAGATAGGAAAATCTGAAATGCTAATTTCCAAATAGAAGTGTACAAGAACAAACTCAGTGATGATTTTAGGCCGAAAAAAAATTCTGAACCTCAAAAATAAATCCAAGTCTTGATAACTGCAGAAGCAATTAAAAACTTGCTGATCAGAGTAAAACTTCAGGAAAAAAGCAGAATCTATTAGCAGATGCTAGAAGGCTACAAGCCTGTTTAGCTTTTCTAAACAATAAGAAATTATTGAAAAGCTAGAAACCCCCCAACAAACCCACTTAATTATAGATGAGTGAATAAATAAAATTTTTAATCCTCTTATTAAGAAACTACTTTTACTACTTTTAATTCCTAACAATGTATCTTAATTTTAAAAACTATTAATTTTAAAATAATTAGAAATAAACTAAAAATTAAAATTATAAAACACATTAGGAGCCAAACCCTGGTGTGATTAATGAGGTTGTTTCATTAACACCAGAACTTATATCTAAATATATAGCACTCAGCAACTGATTAAGTTATTGCAAAAATAGCATTTAGTGAAACAAAGAAATGATCCAATTGAAAAGACTTTCTTCAGATATTGTACATCCATTGGCAGGATCAAACATATCTTCCAAACTTGCTATTGATTGCAAAGTAACATCAAATGGGATCTGAAAAAAACAGGGGAAAAAAAAAAGTATAAATAAATAACTTCATTAAGCTTACAGATACCAAATATATATACATATATACAAATATATATACATATATACAAATAGGTCTCTATTAAAGCCAGATTTCTGACCTACAAACAATGAGTAAGTTAGAAATGCTCATTGCCTCAATATAAATCAGTTATTAATGACATCTCTTGCAGAAAACTAGAAGAATAGGATTAAGGGGAGGAAATTGCCGTGAACAGTCTTGCTCACAAAGTTTCTCCTGATTGTCTGTAGGTAAAATGAAGATATCAGACGAGAGCAGCAAGAATGATTAGTAATTTGGAAGGCTTTTCCTAAGATGAGAAGTTGAAAGAATTGAGCTAAGTGTAAACGGTGAAACAGAGGGCAATGATAAACTGGTTTGTATGTCAATTGGACATGGAGATCTATTTAGCTGATTTAGATAGCAGGAAAAACTAACTAAAGGAAGAGAAGCTTGGAACAGGCTATCTAGGGAGGTTAATTTTTAATGCAATTATTTTATTTATAAACTTACTTTTAAGATTGGGAGTCCCAAACTCTATTATCTCCCTCAAAAATATAGCTATTAATTAAATAGCTTTAAAAACAAGCCGGCTGATCAATTTTTATTCTTAAAACATAAACAGTGAAATAATTTTAGATGAATAATTCAATAAAAATGCACTTTTCCCACTTAGAAATATAATTCAGTGCTGAATCAAAAGCACCATAAGACACAAGAACAGAAAAAAGAGAATCAAAGAAGAGAAGCTGCAAACATGATAGGAGTTAAAAGTGGGACAGCTCGGAGAATGAGAAAACAAATACCACAAATTAGAACTGAATTTGTCCAATTAATTCATAAGAAGATGAGCAACAAAGAAGTGTGCGGTGGGGAAATATAATATAAAACTACATATAAGCAATGTATCTGCTGCCTTCTCCTGCATGTTTAAAAACAAAGGGAACACGCTATCCTATGGCATACATCATGCCACTCTGAGCTTTCCACTTTTAGCCAAGAAGCTAGGTAATGCACACGTACAGCTTATTTGAAAGTTTGGGAATGCTACTCTGAAATATGCTGTATGTAGTGAAGTGCTGAACACTCCACAAGTTCTGTTGGCTTCAGAGAAGAATGAAGATACTGAGCATCTTGAAGGATTGGGCTCCACTTGCTCACCCAAATCTGCCATATCTAATAGTAGCTTAGTTTGAAGTCTCCATCTGAAACTTTGAGATGAAAAGCCCATTGTTGCACCTGTTGAAATATTTTAGTTTGTTGTGGCATTTAGCCAGAATAAAACAGAGCAGTTAACATCATATTCTTACTGGAAATACACCACTAAATCTGGTCCCTCACTTTCATTGTCAACCCAAAGGAAGAAGCAGGCAAAGTGAGGAGGGATTCAGGACAATTTAAAACAGGTCCAGGAGGTCCATGTGATTCTAAGGAAGCTCGGCTGTACCTTTCCTCAGGTATTTGTCAAATCTGTCTACTGTGGAAGATATTTCAGTGGGACTGTGAAAAGTATAGCTTTGCAAAATGAACGTGTATGTATTTTGATGCATTGATAAAGCCAAATTGAGGGATATGAAGGTCTGGGAGTCATTTGAGAGAGACCTTCAGGATGGATAGCAAGGGGTGGCAAGAATGGTGCAAAATGTATAAAAGGGAAGCACATACTCCTTGGTACCAGACTGCAGGGTGCACTGGACAGCATCACAGATTGTCTCTTCTATAGTAGGCCCCTAGCCAAACTGTTCCCAGACAAAACTCGGGATTCTCTTCAGGTCAACAGAGCTACCTGACTGGAAAAGGAGAGTATAGTGGATCCCTTAGCCATTATTGTTCCATTGTGACCAATTACAGGCAAGAAATTTGAGGATTAGTAGGTGGGTTGATATGTTATGGTGGTTTCCAAATTCTTCCTTGGAGTTCCTTGAGCCCTGGCAGCTGTGGTCCTCTCCTGAGCTCCCTGGAGTAGCTGAGAACACTGAGCAGTACCGCTGCCCACTATGGGCCAGTTCCCGTTGTCTCCTCTGGAATACTGACTACAGTAAGATGATTACAACAGCATGGACTAAAAAATGGCATGCTATCTCTGAACACGTGTCATGGGCAAGGCAGAAAAAGCTAAAGAAAATAGAAAGAAAGCCTGAATAACTGTAAAAAATACAGGGATGGAAGGAAATTGCATTTGGCAATTGCATCATGGAAATTCACTGGAGCCTGTATAAACAATGACCACAGAATGGTGGATAAACCAGATGAATCCATTGTGAACAAGATTCATTTTTAATACATTTTTGTCTGTATAAAAAGGCGACTCTAATGAACAGTGAAGATACAGTTTGTAATCATGCACATTGGTATTTTATTTGTAAAGACGAAAAAATAAAACCCAGACAGAAAGCTCAACAAATGTATGAGGAAAAAAATGGGAAGATACTTAGTGGTATAATCCATGTTATAGTTTAACTGAACAGTTGTTTTATTTTAGAAAACGGATTTTTACCATTAATGAGAATAGCATACCTCAGTTAATGGCAAGCACAGGGCTGGAACAACAGACAACAGTGCTCTGACTTCCGATAAACACCTTTTAGCCATTTCCTAATGGTATAAAACAAGAAAAAACTAATGCTGTACCATCAGTCTCCTCTGATAAGCTAACAGATGGCTTGGCTTTACAGAATTTTTCAGAGCAATCAAGTTTTAGGTTATTCTAGTTGAATTCACGGCAAAATAAACCTTAGCTGATGAATATAAATTTTCTGCAACACAAATAGTTGTGTTTGCTGTATAAACACAAGTGCCCAAACCTTGCAGTTCCTACTGAGGGAAAATTGCCCCTGGCTCAGGTATTAAATCCAGTGAGCAAGCATACTTTTGCTACGTGTTTACTGAAGACATTCTAAACAAACACTCTGACAAGATGATATTTATACATGTATAATGCATGGCGTGTTAATCTTATTAGTATTCTAAACATTGTTTTTCCAATTACTGACATATATTAATGAAAATTTGAGCAAAACCCTTCAGGTAATCAGAAACACCCACTAATGGACAGCGCTGTCTACCCTCCTGAAAACACTGTGATTGGCCAAAACATCATTTGTTCTTCAAGCTGGTCAAAATACAGCCTCGTAATAATGGCACAGTGCACAACTGTCACTGTTTCACAGCATCCATCAGACAAAATGACAGCGTCTACATCATTAATCATTTCATATAATAGATATAAAGAGAATCCTGTCACATGATAAATGTCTCCCACTTTGAAAATAAACGTCTATTTTGCCTTGGCATTTATCAAGCAGCAGTTACGCTGTGGCAACGTTCTATTCCAATGACATTATCTCAAACAGACCACATGGAAAATTCTGAAATTACCTCTTTTGTGTGTGTATGTGGGGGGAGTTATTTGGTTGCAGACCATATTCAGCCTTGCTAATAAAAAGAAAAGAGGAAGGTGGCGTAGAGAAAATGAAAATAAATTCACTGCCAGTTTTAGTCCTCTCTCAATAATGTTATTAGAAGGTTCTTATTTCAGAAACCATCACTGCCCATTTTGCATTGAAGATGTGTAACTGATTTTTAAAAAGCACTTTTGGGTTGATCTCCTTGCTAATTTAACACTATACTAAGCATTTTCAGATGTAGATTGCTATAAATTAGCCATCAGGTTTCAAATCTATGTACCTGAAGACGTAGCCTTTATTTTCAACTGGAAGGTTAATGATGCCTGATTTTATTTTTTTTTAAGTGACAAGCAATAATAAGGAAAAGAAAAAGTTAAAAATTAAATGAAGAATGAAAATATTTCAACATTTCTTGAAAGAGGTGAGGGAAGATTAATCTTTTATGTTGCCTTCCAAGTTACCTGTCATTTATTTATCCAAAACAGACATATTTTAAATAAAAAGACCATCAGACATATTTTAGAGCAGAACTGTTCTTACTTACTTCTGTTTTTTCATCAAGATGCACTTTTGTGACATTCACTTTGGGTTTTTTTGAATGAATTATTTTCAAACTTTCACTTTGTTCAAGAAAACTTGTAGGTTCTGAAGCTGAAGACAAGCTTTTAGAACTTTGCATCAACATTTCAACTTGCTCCTTCAGATTAGATAATTTCTCCCGTAAAGAAATAATTCTGAAAGAAAACAAGATTTTTCATTATTGCTGTTATAAAAGAACAATATTTGGTTTTTTCAAGGTTATAATTAAACTGACCTAGCTTTTATTTCATATTGATTAGGTTCGACATTTTCTTTCATTTCAAGACTGATCTCATAATTTTACAAAAAGAAGTTTTCCATTAAAGAAAGTGGAACTATGAAATGCATAAGCTTTTTGCCTTAAAAAATGGTAAGAGGAAGTATTTTAAGTATGCCTCTCTAAGAAAAGATTTTCCCATCCAACCAGCACAAGGTGAGCTGACAACCTTGGTGCCAGGGGCTGCAATTCTTCTTGGCCCATTATTGCTTCCCCTCCACCTGCTCAGCAGTTCCAAAAATTCTGGGGCTACATGAATGCCAAGGAAGAAGTAATGAAAAGTGCCATAGGATGTAAAATGAAGGGCTGAGTCTGGGGCTACAACTGAGAAAAATTCTTGCATGCTCAGAGTTGCAATATGGGATGGAAAAAGCAGCTGATCCAGTGCGAGAATGGGATTAACTGCTGGGACTGCTTCTTAGGTTTGCTGGCATTTTCTTATGTTGCTATGCCGGTGTAATATAATTAGCATGTTACTCAGTTCTTTAAGAATCAAAACTAAAATGCTAATGTTTGGATAGGCTTAACGCTATGTACAACATCTTACAGTTTTTATAGTGAAAAATCTCTGAAAAGCAAAAATATATGCTTTTAAAGACTTACAGCTCTTCAATAATTTGTACTTTATTTTCTCTCATCCTCAATGGTTGACTGATCTTTAACATAGCATGAAATAACAGGATAAAGTCAGTGATTATTTACCTAGTCAACGGAATCCACAAGTGGCCTGAAAATGTAGACTTTGAACTGAAAATCTTGATGTTGCCAATCTTGACAGGCTTTGTATTATAAGCATAAAGCAGCAAAACCTGTGAAGGAGATGGAATAGCTTAGCTATAACATAGTACGGTATAGTAGACCTGAGCTATTTCAGTGATTGTAGATTATAATAACTATCAAAAACAGTGTACTGGTGAAGACGTAGACAACTGACTTTCAAAAAAGGAAGGAATGTTGCTGCATATGAATTTGTACTGTACTCAGTTTTTATAGGTGCTAAAACAATTTAATTATGTATATAATTTATATGAGTTTTGAAAATTAGTTATACCCTATCCAGTCACCACCAAAATCCTAGTCTGGACCTCATTCTGGTCAATCAATCCCACTTATGGTCATGTCCAAAGTTCCAATTTCAGGTAGGCTGAACAGAGAGCTTTTACTGGATTTCCAAAGGCCCTGTGGCATTAGTTATATTTGCTTGTGCATGGCTGTCATCATACTAGGTTTAAATCCATGAAATATAACTCACCAATCTAAATAAAACTGTATCAATATAAGAGCACAAGAAAACAAAATAGAACATTCTCATCTTTCACTGAATTAATTTGCTATCATGATAAATTTCCTAAAGTAACCTGCAAAACTATATTGAAAAGTACAGTATTTGCACTACCATAACAGGGCTTCTATCAGCTTACTAATAGAGATCAAAGAAGTTTAGTAGAAATTTTGGCACTGATCTGCTATGCCAAAAAGTTTGGAGATCATGGATTTCTATTGCAGTAGCAGGAATTTTATTTACATGCTGTTCCCTTGTTTTAAAATAAAACAAATTCCATGTCCTAGTGTTCTGCTTTCCTGCAACCCTGCAGTCTCTCTCATCTTTCATGTTTAGTCTGATTTCTTAGGGATATAAGGTTTACAAAATCCCATTTTCCCTATATATATATCTGCTTTTCTGACAGACTCCCACCAAATAGTATTGTTTGAATGTATTGGTCAGCTCTAACCAAACTTAACAGGGTTAATAAGATCAAGAAGTGGGACCACGTAAACCTCATGAGGTTCAACAAGGCCAAGTTCAAGGTCCTTCACCTAGATCAGGGCAACCTCCTGGTATCAATACAGGCTGGGGCATGAAGGGATTGAGAGCAGCCCTGCTGAGAAGGACTTGGGGGTACTGGTGGATGAAAAGCTGGACATGAGCCAGCAATGTTTGCTCACAGCCCAGAAAAGGCCAACTGTATCCCGGGCTGCATCAAAAGAAGTGTGGCCAGCAGGTCAAGGGAGGTGATTCTGCCCCTCCACTCCACTCTGGTGAGGCCCCACCCAGAGTACTTCATTCAGCTCTGGAGTGCTCAGCACAGGAAAGACATGGACCCATTGGAGCAGGTCCAGAGGAGGGCCACAAAAATGATCCGAGGGCTGGAGCACCCCTCCTATGAGGAGAGGCTAAGAGAGCTGGGGTTGTTCAACCTGGAGAAGAGAAGGCTCCGGGGAGACCCTATTGCAGTCTTTCAGTAATCAAAGGGGGCTTACAATAAAGATGGGGATAGGCTTTTTAGCAGGACCTGTACCAGTAGGACAAGGGGTAATTGTTTTAAACCAAGAGAGGGTTGATTCAGACTAGGTATAAGGGAGAAACTTTTTACCATGAGGGTGGTGAAATGCTGGAACAGGTTACCCAGAGAGGTGGTAGATGTCCCATCCCTGGAAACATTCAAGGTCAGGTGGGACGGGTCTCTGAGCAACCTGATGTAGTTGAAGATGTCCCTGCTCATTGCAGGGGGATTGGACTAGGTGACCTTTAAAGGTCCTTTCCAACCCAAACCATTCTATGATTCTAAGACATCAAGGACCTGTAAAAGGCATGAATACCACCTGGCCTGGAAGCTCTATATGGTCAACAAAGTCTTTCTTTGTCCTGCCACCAAAAACCTGTCCGGGCATTCTGTTTGTCCTGCATAGTAGGTTTGTGGCAGAGTATATATATAGCTCCCAGCTGTCCAGCTTTCCAATCAGCACATGTATAATTCAATAAAAAGCTGATCAGTCAGAACACAAATATTCATTGGAAATGAGACTTAGTTTGTTCCGATAGCTAAGGAACTGCTTTGGTGTAGTTATACCTTAGTGTCTGCATCATTTGATGGCTTTGCCAGTGAAGGAATGTACCACTGAATGTTAATTTCCTTATTTGAAGCATTTGCTGCCCTACTGTCCATCTGACTGTCTACTTCTCGCATGACAGAAACCGGAGAAGCTATTCTCACATGTGTCATCTTTGATGTAATTCCAGTAATTTCAAGAGACACCTGAAACACAAAAGAAAATTTTAATTTTTTTTCTAGTGTAACATGCAAAATCTGCTATAATCTAGTGTCTACTAGAATCAGAATGATTATCACTCCTGCACAAATATATGCTTATTTAGATAAATGGGTAATTTTAAAAGGTGTCCATTTTACCAAGTTAAGGCTTTTCAAAGTTCACATGACTAGACGTTTCTAAAGGTAATGCAAAGGACCTCTGGGCTGACTTAGAGTCACCTGCAGTAACAATGATTGTTACCTTTGACGTAACATCCTTATGGCATTATGTTTTCTGCTAAAAGATACTATTTGACATGCTGACCATACAAAATTTAGTGCGGAAAAAGTAATTTGTCTGCTATACATATTGATAATTAAAATAGTAATCTGAATGCTAGACTAATGGCTTATTGATGTTTACCTATTTGTTTTCTTCTTAGCTGTGCGACTAACAAAGGGTGATACCTACTGAAAACTCAGTCATTTAATTTGTGAGGATTTGTCATATGTCATATTTACTAAAATATATATGGAACATTAGCAGGCTATTCATCAAATAGTTACTGTTTGGCCATCATTTACCAGGGAAGCAACGCACGGAATACTGTCAACCAACATTCATTCATGAATAAAAGCCTTTTACAAAATTGTAAAATATTTGATTTAAAGGCTGAACAGCACCATACCATTTCTACTTTTTGAAGTGTTACGCAGATCTGCAAAGAATAGATGAGGCCAAACAGTGACATTTTGAATGTTCATTGCTGAGAAAAAAATAGAGAATTTTACCCACTATATTTTCAGAAAAGACAGTTCATGACTGGTACAGGGCCGTAAATCTAGGTGAGTGGAAGATGGATTTTTCACGGTGATATAATCTTACTTCATAAAGCCAGTTCCCATCCAGCAACAAAATATAGTAGAATTGAAGATAAAGTCATGCCTGCATGCATGCACGCATGAATTCGAACATATGGATATGCCTTCAGTATAGAATGGGACAATTAACTGGGGGATGATCCATGCCACATACGCTCTAAGCACTGGGGCAGTGATAACAGTGGCCATAACCCATGGTATGCCATGAGATCTGCATGGATCACCCACCCACTACCAGGTTCTTCTACATTCAGGATCTCCATTTCGGCAAAGAATCACCCGCTATCCTGCTAGCATGGAGTGTGAACAACATTATGAGAAAACACATATATGGAGGTGGGAACAACCTAATTTATGCCGTGCCCCTGAAGTAAAGTTCTTAAAAGTCCATTTTATGATATATATTTCTTTCTAAAATGTGTGGTATGTTTTCTTTTTCACTGAACTGCATCTTTTGTTATTTATAACATATTGAATCTTTTTGAGGAAGGCTATTACAACTGCTGTTGTCAAACTGGAGGGTTGCTGAATTATATACATAAATATTTATCTATTCAACTTTCTCAAAAGCCTGAAAACAACAAACTGTCTTAGTTAAGCATTCCCAGTCCTACGTATTATCATGGAGTGGAATAAAAAGCAAGCATGCAAAATGTAACAGGGCACACAATTTTAATTATAGCCTTCTTAATGTAATTTGGATTCTTTGTTCAGCAGAGCTGAAAAAAACTTTGAGTCAAAAATAGAATTACAAAGACACATGTAAGCGAAACAACCTTGTGCATAAAAATCATTCTTTCAAAAATTATATCTGTTTGTACTGTTAAAAATTCCAATATCAAATTACAGTAACATTTTTAAAATAACTTATACAGCTTTCTGAATAGCTAAAGCTTCTAAAAATGTTGTGATAAAAATCAATGAAGCTTAGAATTAAAAAAAGTAAGAGCTTTATGCTTGTTAGCTGTCTACAACAGTGAAGCTAGCACATGATTATGCAGCTTGCACCTGTCACGAACATGACAGTAAGCTCTGAAGCTTATTATTCTAGGACAGTGTAATACTAATTATGTCAAAAGAAGAGCAGACAGAGTAAAATAATTTTTGATATACGATGGCTGTTATAAATGTCACATACCATATATTTACAATTTATTCAGTGGCACAGTCAGCTCTTTGTTGGGAAATGAGTAATGATATGCTGTCCAACACTGCAGAAAGTTCACCAACTCTAGAAGAGCGACTTTCACAAAAGTATTTTAATTCATTTTTGTAAGATAACAAGTTCTCACTCCTCAAGGCTCTCCAGCTAATACTGAACATCATAGGTAAAAAATAAACCATAGAGAGTAACCTGTCATTTTAATTTTTTAGTATTAGGATAATTATTAATGTGAGAAGTCAGATGGAGAAACTTTGAAGACAATTATTTTTACATTGAATATTCAAAGACTTTTACCATTCAATATTCCATGCCATATGCCATAGTCACCGTAGACTCCAGAATTCCAATTCAAGGTTTCTCTGAGCAGGATAGTCTAAGCTGCCTACATTTGAAAGCTCAAATAGGCTGCTCACAAGCCAGAGATCTGAAAAGATTGATTTTCTAGCCAGCTGTTAATCAGTGAAAAAAAATGGCATAGAAGGACCTCAACAAATTTTTATAAAATATAAAATATATATTTTTTGAAAATCATGTTTTTATTATACAGCAAATTAACAATATAGAGGCTTGTACATACAAATTACAAAGCAAACACCAGGGCATATTTGGTAGGAAACATGGAAATCTACAAGATTAAAAGCCTCAGTCCTACCAAATAACACAGCCAACTTAACTAATAATAAAATCTTCGTAAATATCATTCTGCTTAATATTTTAGGGTCTAAATACACTGGGCATGGGATAGAGATAATTTTTGAAGGAATAAATAACACAAGGATATTTGCATTTGTTAACTATGTCTTTCATTCCTTGCACAGGATTTTGGCTTTGCACTAATCCTCTGCATATTGAATGTCATTCTTCTGTAGTGCTCTCAGAAATATCATATTGGAACTAGCAAGAGTCTGAGCAAAATGCAAGCATAATAGATATTTTTGAAACATCAGTAAGAAAATAAGTACCTTTGAAGAATCAGCTGGCCTACCAAGTTGCAATTCTACATCATGTAGCTCTTCTGGGAAATTCTCAGGACAACACATTGAATATTCAAACAAATGTTTTTTAAGAAATGAATGCATTTCTGCTATGCGTAGAACAATCCCTGTGTCAAAAACAGAACTAAGGTGTCCATCTCTTGTAGCAAATGATCCAGGTCCTGAGTTAGGGGCAGCTTTGAAAAGAGATTTTTATTACATCATCATTTCCCATTACAAAGTAAAGTTTCTACAGCTACTAAATTTTGAAAATATAGTAAAATATTGAAATCAATTCAATATCAAATAAATGCCTTTCAAACAATTATACTAATTGTCCTTAAATATTACTAGGTTATGCTATTTGTATTGCACTTTTTCCCTGGAGATCTGATAATGAAACAAGCTCTGTCTAGACATTATAAAGTAGCACAAAATGGGAGGTGCAATTTTGAGGTTTAAGAACTTAAATTTAGATGTATAAGCATAAGTATATTCAGTACATGTCTAAGCACCCACTAGAATGAATGTGTATTTATTCAATACAGTAAAAAGAAGCTCTAAGATCTCTTAAGACCATAATTTAGACAGCTAGTGGCCGATGAGCTGAGTCGTTCCCTAGGCTCCATCATTGGTAACTACAGCTGAGATATACATGCACATTTTGACACCTACTTGTCCTTTGACACCTTACTGTCCTTATAGTTCTGCGGTGAGGTAGAATGCCTTCCTTTCATTTAATGCTGCAAGGAAAAAACCCCAACCCTTTCTGAAATTATTATTTTTAGAGACATTAAGTTTCACTCTAGGCAGCACCTATATGCACCATCTCATTCTATTCTCACTTGTCATGTTGTTAACTTGTATATCCAGCAGCTGGCCACCAGACATGGATGCATAGTATTAGGGCCCTGAAATTAATGGCTCCTTACCCTTTTTGAAAGGTCCTATCTATTACCATCTTTTGTTTACAGTGAAATAAACCAAGTATGTACATAACATCTGGGGTTTTAGTCAAAACACATTCAATAATGCTCAGCCTTCCCATTTATACTGCACTCAGTTCTCACAAACAGGCCCCCAAACTGAGCAGATTTATTTCTGATGTGACTTAAATCTAAGAACTAAAAATAAATATAGATTATGAATTTTTTTAAAACTGCCTCAGATATAGTAATAGCAACTAAGTTTTGAGGGATGCTTTTCCTGGTATCATGAAGGCTTATGGATAATTATGAAAAAAAGTAATAATATCTTCATTTACAAGACTTTTAAACGGAGATAAATCTTGACTTCAGTGAAGATTTTTTCACATTTATACAATTTAAAGGAACTCAAAATGAGACTATCTCAGATGATGGCCTTTGAATCTGACACTGTTGGCCCCCAAGAACAATATCTCACCTATGGCAGTTTTCTAGAAGGAAGGAAAAATTCATACCAAATAGAAGGTTTGTGTTATAAAGTCTTCTTAAATAACTGTGGTAGCGAATTAAGTGAACCCATGTTATTGTCTCTTTCTTCTCGCTGGCCTTGGTGGCAAGACTTTCTGTTCCTTCACTTTGGCTCTGCTTGTCATGTATGATTTGTTTGTTTTCAGTAGAAGATGCCTTGGGACTTTCACAGACAACACTGTATCCATCTGCAAATCCAACAACAGTTCAACAGTACACATTAAGTGAATGGTTGCAATTCAAAGCTATTTCTGCATTGTGTTGGAATTCACTAATCTGTAATTGCAAATGTAACTTGTGAACCTGGTTATGTTTTTTGTAAGAGGAAAATTCTTTCTATTCTGCTTTAATATTAGTTGAAGTGGTAAAGAAAATAGTTCTCAGATCATGGCCAGGAATCTGACTGGTCCTTGCAAGAAGCTAAAAGGGATAGAGAGCAAGGTGCTTTCTCTCTGTCTCTGAATTTAAATATGAAACCATTATTTCTATACATTGTTCGATAGCAGCTATTTACTAAATGGAAACAATACTAGGAGTCATCAGTCATAACTACAGCAATTGAACTTCCGAGTTATATTGACCTGAACTCAGAACAACTACATACTCTGAAATGTTTATTGTTAACTCCAATCCAGTCCCTTATAAATATTAAGCACATTATCAAATAAATCTGTTCTTGACTATGGACTAAAAATACCTCTTTTTTTTTTGTGCTGCCTAAAAGTTGTACTTATGCAAAAAAGAGAAAAAAATATCAGTACGGTTATCACTATATCACTGTTTATATTCATTTTTTTCACTGTATTAGTACATCACTCTCTTTAAAAGCCTAGACAATTCTTCTGCTGTGTTCCTTATTCCAAATTGAACAAACATTATGTTACATTAATTCCTAATAGTAAACTTCCAGAAAGTAATTATGTGTGCTTCTACAAAATCTGAATGTCTTCTTTATTCCTCATACTTCATCGCCAACTGTAAAAACAGAATTTAGTTAAAATGGCCACATTGTTTACAGATGAAACTTAAACAATGTGTTTCACTAATGGTTTTACAGAAAATATTTAGCATGCTGTGCTGATCATTTCCATTTCAATTTACCTTTATACATTTTGGCCTACTATAGCTTTTCTACATTTTCGATTCTTTGTATTGCTGAACAGAACTATCAGGAGAAACACCTGCTGGATTTGCTAAAAGAAAAAATGATCTGTAATTATAAGCAATGGAGCTAGTACAAAACAATCAGATTGATGGAGGGTCTTAGCATACAACACTTGTTTTCATAAACCAATCAAAACACGTATGTTTAAACACTACAGTAAGCAGACATCACTCAGCTTTGCCAGCGACTATCAGGCAGAACAATTCAATCTTTGTCAGTTACTTGGGATGACTGAAATTAAGCCACTGAACCAAAATTTTAGCACTAAACTAATGGTTCACAGTTTAAAAAAAACATAGAAAATTTGCCTTAGTGTTTACATAACATCTGGCAAACATTATCCCAGAATTCCTAGTTTCACTGATTTTTTTTTTTTAAATCAAAACCTTCCATTTCATCAACTCCATTAGCTGCAAAATAAATGGAGAAGTTGGAAATAAACCAGGCAAAGGCAAAGTTCTACCAAGCTAATGGAAGCATCTCTAAATGATGGTCCATTGGACTGGGAAGACAGTGATTATTTTTTTTCTTTGACTTTTAGAATACCCCAGGCAGATGAATTTGCAAGAGTTTGGGTTTTTTGGTTTTGGTGTTTGGGTTTTGGTTTTGGGGTTTTTTTGGGGGGGTCGAGGGGGTGGAGGGGGGTGGGTGCAGGGAGATACAAGCTATTCAACACCAACATGTCTTTGCAAAATCAAATGAAAAACTGAAACTCTCCAAGGAAAAGCTAACCTACCTAAGGAAAAAATCTGTTCTAAATCGGCGTTTGAAAATAAAAACATTGATGACTGATAGGGGGGCCAAGACCTACTCTAGAAGTCTGGGGAAGGCCTGTGACAAAGGTCCATCTGTTTTTCTAAAAGTATGGCAGTATGTGCAAACTGTCTTTCTGAGTCACAGTATGCAAACAATGCAATTTTTCTTAACCCATTGAATGCATGCACAGGCTGATATTTAAAGACCCATTAGACCTACTCACTATTTTGCACTGCTATGCAGGACGAGGATTTTGCTTTTACTTTCCAAATTTGACTTCTAATTTTTCATAAATGAAAAGTATATATTAAATGTATTACTAGATTACAAGGCACATAAAGTTTATTGGTTATTTAATGTTCTAATATTACTAAATATAAAGGAATACCAGATAAGAAATCTGTGTAAGAAGCAAGAAGATCCATGGAAACAAATTCTGGGATTTTCTGTTGCACTGCATCCTCTATGCTGTGTTCTTTAACACTCTTCATTCCAATTAATAGCTGAGAAGCAAGCACAGCTTCACTGACCTAAAAATAATATTTATTTTATTCAGAACCAGTTCACTACAATATTTATATAGATTTTAAAATCTGAGAGTAGCAAGATGATGTCAAAAAATTAATTGCTCAACATACTATATTTTTAAAAGTCAGGAAAATATTCTATTTCTCTCTGACATATGGTACATACTATACTTAAATAAATCATTACTACTGACAGCTTAATTACTACATAAGTGATTTCAAATCAGATATCCTCACCTGGATGCCACTGATGTCTACCCACATGTCAAATACATGGGCACACATATCAGGCAGTGTGCTATTTTATTTGCACTGAATCAAAGTTGAGGTAAACAGAGTCAGTTCTGTCCAAGAGAGATTAAATGCACTACTCAGACTGTCCATTTTAATTTCCTCAAATAAGACCCATGCCAGAAATTTCAGGAAACCTTAATTCTTTTCTTGTTTGCCTTGTCTTGTTTGTTTGTGTAAGTAGCATAAGATGAAATTAAAAAAAAAAAAAAACACAAAATTACCTCTTCAGAACATTGCCAGAACCTGTGTAGCTGCTCTTACTGCAATCCAGGCTTGTACTTTGTAGCCTTCTGATTTCAGAGCCTCCTCAGGAGAAGAGAGTTCTCCAGAAGAGGTCTAAAATTATACACCAGTTCACAATTAGTATTCTAAATGTATTCTGGTAAAATACATTTTAAATATAGAAAAAAGTCCTCCTACTAACAGGACAAATAAACGATAAACTATTGTAAACAATAAAACTATTGTTTTATTTGCAAGTTGTAAAAATCAGCATTGATTGTAAATCCATAGATTAATTGCTAAAATTGAATAAAATTATCCAGAGCATACTAATTGGCTGTTCCTGTAAAAATTTTCTCAGAGCAGCTCGTGCCACAGTTACTACTGTATACAGTTTTACTATAATTTTCTGGAATCTTAATTACCTCTTTTCTCTTATGTTACGCATTACGCTTTGAATCTATGACTTGTGGCCACGATAACATGGTTAAAGCCTTTTATATTTCTCATGTTGTCACTCATATTTGTACTGAAAAATTGAAATCTGGTAAACTATAAATATTGCCACCAGGTTTGAATGTTATGTTTCCTTTGCAAGGCACATATTAATTAGTACATATTCAGAAATGAAAACACTGTTGGTTCTGTTTCTTCCTATTTTATACAGAAAAATATTTTATGTTATCATTTAATGCAACAAACATGAGAAACAACATCAAACAAGATAAAATTCTACTGCTGTACTACATGATTTCTTTATGTGATTTTTCTAGTAGGAATTTCAGTATCAGTATGATTTAAAAGTCACCATAAGTAAGAGTCTGGCAAGGTACACAATGTTCTAACAGAAATATATTTCCTGCTTTGAAGAGCCTACTACCCAAAACATAGAAAACATACGTTTGATTTGGAAGGCACTATCTTATCTGTCTGTGACACATCTTCATTATTTGTGGCAAAATGCAAATACAATAGTGCTATTTCAAGGTATGATCTTCTTATTAACCTGTAAGAAACAACACACAGATCAATCAATGTTACTATCAAAGTAAGCATTACAATGATACAATCTGATGCCTGCATAGGACTAGTCGGACAGTCTCACCAAATAAATAATTTATCCAGCCCTCATCATCTACTCAAAATGTACCTTCTTTCAGAAAGCTGTGTGATCCTGTTTTAAAGTCATAGTGAGTCTTAAAACATCCCTATGTTATGCTTAACAAATAACACATTGATTTAAGAGTACGTCAAATCTAATTTGCATTATGTGCAACAAATATTCCATAAATAAATTGCAAATGTTTAGTAAAAAAATGTAATTCTGCAAAGGAAATTATCTTCCTATACACAATCAGTATGGGTTCCTGTTGCTTCCTCAAGTTAAGGCATATATCCATTGTCCTGGTTTCCCTGAAACATGGGTGGCTGAATTTGGGTATGGGTCTTCAGTCAAACTCCTCCGACAATCAGCAAAAATACCCACAGTCTTTCATTTCTTCACTGGCCTCACCTGAGGAACCTTCTCTGTTGAGTTCTGTAGCAGAATACTCTACATTTTCAGACAGACTGAGCTCACTATTTCCTGTTCTTCTCCTGTACTTCCTTCTCCTTTTAGTCATTTTTACATAGTAGTATTATAAACCAGGCAAAAATCATAGAATCATAGAATGGTTTGGGTTGGAAAGGACCTTCAAAGGTCACCTAGTCCAATCCCCCTGCAATGAGCAGGGACATCTTCAACTACATCAGCTTGCTCAGAGACCCGTCCCACCTGACCTTGAATGTTTCCAGGGATGGGACATCTACCACCTCTCTGGGTAACCTGTTCCAGCATTTCACCACCCTCATGGTAAAAAGTTTCTCCCTTATACCTAGTCTGAATCAACCCTCTCTTGGTTTAAAACAATTACCCCTTGTCCTGCTGGTACAGGTCCTGCTAAAAAGCCTATCCCCATCTTTATTGTAAGCCCCCTTTGATTACTGAAAGACTGCAATAGGGTCTCCCCGGAGCCTTCTCTTCTCCAGGCTGAACAACCCCAGCTCTCTCAGCCTCTCCGGATAGGAGGGGTGCTCCAGCCCTCGGATCATTTTTGTGGCCCTCCTCTGGACCTGCTCCAATGGGTCCATGTCTTTCCTGTGCTGAGCACTCCAGAGCTGAATGAAGTACTCCAGGTGGGCCTCACCAGAGTGGAGTAGAGGGGCAGAATCACCTCCCTTGACCTGCTGAAAATCAATGTATCTGCTGAACTTCTCCAACATTTCTATTCCCTATAGGTTTATAACAGGTTTATAGGCAGATTCCCCTGGTTCTGTAGCTCTCTCCAGATCTCCCTTATGAATTAGTTTCCCTAAGCATAGCAACAAACACCTGCTCATGTAGTTACTATTCTGGACAGAGTCATAATGAACAGAGTTGGCTGTTTATGTAGTACAATAAATTCCAGCTTTGGTATGATTCATGTAAAGCAAAATACAAAAGTCATAGAGTGCTGTACAGTTCAAGATAGGGCGAACTAAGTGGGAAGATGGCAAGTTCTAGGCTTAGTTTGTGACAATTTAGTTAACGTTTCCAGTCTTGCTAACAAAAAGGGATTTGAGACATCAAGAAGGAACTTTAATTAAACAATCCTGTAGATATCAGAGGGCTTGTGTAACGGTGATCAGGACATTTAGTTCTCTAAAATAAGACAGTCAAGTTCCATTGATGTTGCTGTACATTCTTCTAGAAAGATGGTAGCAAATTAAATAAGAGTGCAGCAAATTAAACTTGCAAAACATCTCCACAGTCCATTTCTGTACTATCTTCCGTCATGCTGACTGCTTGTAGAGGTTTATTACTATGCTACTGCTTCTGTGTTAAGAGTTCTGGTTCATTAACTTAAGTAACAGAATACCCAAACAAGCAAGGTAAATTGCTGCCTTTACACTGTCTGTAACCAGACATGGCACATTATTCATTAAGACTGGTCAAGAAACTAAAAAAAGCTGAAGTCCAATGTATCAGAGCTGCTTGACAGAATTTATTGGCTGGTTTGGCTCAGCTCTTCAGGCATCTTCTGTGCTGATAACTAATGCCAAAGTCACTGTCCTGATATCTGTTACAAACACATTTCCTATGTTCCTTCTGCCTCTGTTCTTCTGACTGTTTCTGGCTGCTAACCTTTTCAAGCTGGATTTCTATTATCTGGAAGGGGGCAGACCACAGCTCATCTTCTGAAATATGAATAAAACCCCTGTTTAATTGATAACTCTGTTCCTGGTGTTGACAGAGAGGGTACAGATTTGGAAACAGAACAGAAAGATATAACTTTGTATACTCTAAAATATGCTTTTAAATGTGCTCAGCATTTGTTTTAAATAAGACAATAAATATATAATAGCTTTTCTATACTGCAAGAGAAGATAATTCTCCAAAACATAAAAGATGCTTCATAATAGAAGTCCCATACCAAATCACAGAAAACTACAAAAAAAATATACTCATGTGTGATTAAAATTATTTTGGAAGTTATATAGCTAGTTTCTCACTCAAATTTTTGGTCATGTTGCTGGCTGAGTTTTATAGCTTCCAACAGGGTTTCAGCAGCTCGAGATGACTTGTCATTGCCTGCTTCGGTTATCTGGCGTTCTACCTTACCTAAGAAAGAAATATAGAAAGGAAATTTGCAAGATTTGAAATAATTTTTTCTGTAAGACCCAATCTGTTTACCTCCAGGAAAGTTAAACAACATAGTGCATTGTCTATTCTCTTCCTGGTAAGTAACGTCTTCTCCTGTTTGTTTAAAACGTAATGTACAATGCTTGCATAGCAAATTACTTCAGAGAGTAGCTAAAATAATCAAACTTGGGAATCATAATGATTCCTAATGTGTAGTGATCGTAACTAGAAGACAATTGTACGTGGAGGAGTTAATGCACAGGCAGAGGCCTGTTCTGTGCTGCGCTATGCTGCACGTACAGTGTGGCCTTCAGGCCTGTGATGTGCTGTGCCACAGGATAAATAGAGCCAGCTAGCTGTAACAGAAGAGTATGTTGGCAGCATCTTCTCAGTACCAGTGATGATACCACCTGCCCTCTCTGTAAAAGTGCAGCAAGAAGTTCTTATGTCAATATGCTTTTTGTTTGACAGTAGAAATGATGAATAGAATTGTTTTCTTTTAAGAAAATCCTGTAACAGCTCAAAAGACCAAAATGAGGCAACCCTTCCACAGACAGGTTCTGTGTGTTGTGCTACACCTAGACTGGAAGCCCATTCGATACTGCACAACTTGGGGTTTTCAGCATCTGAAGGGACATAAGATTATTTACTAACTATCCTCTTTTTCTTTATAATGTTAACTCCAATAAATTACATTTTAAGAGATGCTTTACAGAGCCTGAGTGCCTTTCTGGCTTGGATCCTAACAAACCAACACCTCCTGGTGCAAAACATAATGACACTAAAATCCAAATGCAGGCAAACACTGTGTAATTCATTAGCTTAGTTAAATCATTTAGAAATACTTTACAAGCCTCCCATTTTCATTAGTTCAGACTGATGCAAAGAAGCTAATTAGCTTTTTACAGAGTCCTTTATCTTATTGGCTATACCCTTTGTTCCCTGATAACACAGAGGTGGGAGAAAATTCTGCTGCAGTTTTGAAATTATTCGTTGCGTAATGCAGGAGAGCAATCTGCAGCTAGACAAGGTGAGAAATATCCAAATCTGTTCTATTTTTACAGTGAAATGTCTCAATTTTAAGAGAGGCCATATGCATAACATTGCCTAGGAAGGCAATCATGATGTACAAACAGGGTTTTATTTACCTATCTGAAAAAGAAGTTCAGCTTCCATATCTAATTTTTTTGTTGCAGATGCTCTGCAAAGCTTCAATGCTGATTCGAAATGTTTGAGAGCACATAGCCATTGCAGTGGATCTCCTCTTTCAGGTATACAAGCTACTTTTTCAGCTAATGTGTGTCCTAAGGAAAAGAAAAAAAAGACAGTTCTCAGTAAATTATTTAATAGAAAACCAATTTGTGCAAAAAGAAGCAATTTCTGTAGAACAACTGCCGTTACGTATTCACCGTTACAATCCAATTCTTAAAAATCTGAGTGATTAATGGATATAAATACAGAGCTATAATGTTGTTTCACTACTTTATGATGCCATTAAGGTTTACCTAGGGCACCCAACAGAAGCCCAGGCTACACAAATCAACCCTTTCACAAACTATCTGAAAAGACTAGCAGTAAGCCACTTCATAATTTTATTTCATCTGGCAGTTTTAGGCAAAACCTAAACCTCTCTGAGCACTTCCCAAATTCCTTTTGGGCTAAACAGTTTCAAAGTCTTCTTTGATGTATTGTATACCTCTTACATTGTACTCCCCAATGTTCGGCTGTATTCATAGGTTTTTCCTAAAACCATGGATTCAGAAACAGGAACTGGTCAAACATAGCCGTTACTATGAGTGAGTTTGGCCATGCCTCCACTGACAAGCTGTAAAGCACAGTAAGAGTGGATCCCTAGAGCAAAGCAGCTGGTGTTGAAGACCTGACAGCCACAGCAGATGCATTTCAGAGTGTTTACTTCAGACTACCTCTATTCTAGTCCTAAGGGCTGAATACAAAGTAGTGTTTGGGGTGCACTGATGTGCTCCTGGAGAGTATCTTCCTGAAAAAAAACCCAGAATACTCTGAGGCTGCTCCACAATGCGAACCAAAGTGCAGTGAGTGATTTCTGGATTTTCTAGTCCATTATAAGCCAGATATACACCAAATTAACAGAAGGAACACGGAGACAATATCCCTTTCCCTATATTTGCTATACAGCAGCAAATCTCAGACAGATCTTAAAGGTCATCTTCTCTTACTATTCAGCATATTTCCAAGTTTCTATATAAAGAAAAGTTATCAAGAAAAGTCATTAAATTAAAGGCTGACAACAATAACAGACACTATTTATTTTACTGGGACAGAGAATTATCACTATTATCCTGTATGATGTCTATCATTAGTTAGTTCCCATATAACGGCTTCCAGAGAGATGGAACATATACAGGAAGTTTTCACGGAATGAATGCTGGAAAAGTTTTGTTAACTTCCACTTAAAAAAATTGAAGTTCCCATTAGTTTCCGCAAGTTATAACATCAATATTGAACCCTTTCTTGATTATAGTTTCTGTAAGAATTGTACCTTGCTTATACACGTTGCATGGAGCCAAACGCATCTACTGTTGGTTTTCAAAATATTTTATTTGTATACTGGAAACAATTGATTTATTACATTCACTTCTGATGCTTCAGTTTATCTGCTGTTGCATAAAATATTAATGAAAATTAATGAAAAATTAAAAATAATAATGACTTGCATTTTTCTTACCGATTCTCATTTTGACTTGGGCTAGCAAGTTGATATGTGGCAAGTAGATATTTTTTGTAGGTAGGGCCAGGCAAGTCAACGTACTGTCTTCTATTTGCAGTTCAATGGGTTCTCCACAAACAAAAATCTATGAAAAGAGTACGCTTTGTAAAATCAAGTTGCAGACAGCAAATTAAATAGCAGTTTGAAAAAGTAAGTTAGGTATTCCAAAACCCTGGAACTCAAATGTGTCTTATAAAAGAGCACTAGAAAAGGGCTTGATACTCCTGAAGTCCTTTACTTCAGTTTGGACTTTTCTTCTTTGCAGAGCAGTTTGGTAGCAAAAGAACAATTTCAATGAACTCTTGAGCAAATTTATTAATGCTAGGGTTTGGTTTCTAAAAGCAAACTCCTTCAAATCAGTCTTTAAGAAATAGATCTCCCAAGTAACTCAAGCCCTAGAAAGAAACTGTCATTTATACAAAGAAATCTGACATCTAACAAAGGCCAGAAAGAAAAAGAAAATAACATGTATGGACCAGTCAAACTTTTCATTCATGGAAATAAGGCAATGGGGACATGCTGTAAAATGTTGTCTCTTGAAGGCTAGCAAGTCTCACAAGTGAAATTCTGCGTCTGAAGTGATTCATATGATTGTTTATTACTTGGGGTAACAAATATTTCCATGGATTAAAGTTCTGTATTAGGAAGTATGAGGAAAGAATTTGATCCAAAAGCTTTTCTTTATAAACTGTATCAAGAACAGGTAGAGAGTGCAGAAGTGCATATCTATTTTTGGATCAATAGGTTAATGGTTTATTACTATACATACCTCTCCCAGATTTCATGGCTCCAGATTTATTTATTTTTTGCCTATTTACATTTTTACATGGAAATGATTTCTTCATACTGATTGCAACAATCTGTCAATCTAAAATGTCATAAACAATACGCTACTTTGTATAGATGCTGTAATTCAAAACACTAAATTAAGACACAAATCTAAATTCTTAAACTTGGATGCTCAAGAGTTAGGAATTTTATAAAATGTACATCCTCCCTAAGGTCCTGAGTACAAACATATCCCTCATTTCAAATGGGAAAAGTGAGTCTTTCACATCTCTTTAGAAGTCAAAGGTACCTATGGATGGATATGAATGTACGTTTTGCAAATATTCAATATTTTTAAAGTGTATGAAAATACCAGACCACATACATCAATATGCATGGTAAGTATGCATAAATAAATTTGGTAAGATGAATTACTTATTTACACTATGTAATCTAGGGAAAATTTAATGATCAATTAATAGGAATAGCCCTTTTTAATAAATTGTTAAAATAGATTCCAGAATAGATAATTAAGATTGCTGGAAGGATTTTCAAATGCTGTTTAAATCACCAACATATACTCACTGCTTTAATGGTAAGCTCATGTGCCAAAGTTAGTAAGTTTAATGGTTCCACTGTAGAAGAGCAATGTTTTGTATCCTCTACTCTTTGGAGTGTTAGTATGTCTGCCAGCAGAAGCATACTTTTCACAAGAGTCAAAGAAGCTGGAGGGGAAATAAATGTATCCTCTTGGAGTAAACTGATGATATTCTGTTGGAAATAGACAACATAAACCAAAGTAGTTACTACTTCTGCTGTCTATTTATGAGGACAAATCACACAAAGTGAAAAAAAAAAGTCTGTTTTAGAGGCACCATTTCAAGCTAATTTAATGCTTGCATCAGCTGTTCTGACTACATGAAAAATGCATCAAAGCAAAGCAAACAGTTTCTCCTTTGTGCTCAAACCTCCAGAAGAAGTTTAATGCCTGCCACGGGACGTTTTTCTTGCAGGTCAAGAATAGCCGCTTGCACCATCATTTCAGCCTGAGTTTCAGTATCACCAAAGGCTTCTGCCTCTAGTATTACTTCTTTTATCACACTTCTGCGTTCAGCCATATCATTTTCTAAAGGGAGAGAATATACGAATAGCAAAAATACAATAGAAAAGATTTTACGGTATCTTCTACCATTCTTAAGAAGTCACTCTGATACTACAGATTCCACATTTACCATTTCATCACTTCTGTGCCAAATTCACTTTCAAAAGAAAGAAAAACCACTTAGTTTTTAAACTGCACTTGTTTTAAGTTCATCCAAATACATTCTTTATATGGAAGCCACCAGCATAAATAATTAGATTTTGTAGACCAGATGTTATTCTCACCCATAAAACATATTCTACATATTCAGAAATCTGATCTTAGTTATAATTCCAAAATAGTAACAGCCTTCACAGGAATTATCCAGAAGAGATTAAATAAGATTTTGGCTACAGAACTCAACTGTGATTTTGATACTTAAGTGAGCATCAGATTTTATACTAAGTTCATAGAACTAAGGAATGAAAAAACATTTTATTAATAATCAAACTGCAATAAATGTATTTTGTAGTATCTCAAAATCTTTAAAGAAAAAGAATCTGGAATATTTTTAGGAGATACACAGGAACATTTCATTTATTGGAGATATGAAAAGTGAAAAAAAGGTTCTGAGACTTTTCAATCTAGAATTACGCAGCAATAGTGGTTCTTTAAAACAAGCATTCTTATTTAACTTAATCACACTAAAACATTTGAAACTTTTTCACACACAAGTGATTTACCAAAAGATCATTAAATTAACATTAATATAATGCTTTGGGTTCACATTCTCTAGGGAGAGATTGAACTCAGAAATATATTTTCCTTAATGCATTGGATGAATTTAATACAAATAATTGCTCAGTGATAATACAGCCCCAGAATTAATGTTAATATTTTTTACTCATGAATAACAATTGTGTCTGAATAGGCTCACTTCCCCATTATACTCCAAAAGTCTAAACCAAAAAAGGGTAATACCTTTCATATTACCAACGCCATGTATCTGTGTTACTAGTGCAGTCACTAACATCGTACGACACCTTAGCCAGAGATGTACATTCAGATGATCTTGTGCTGTTATACTGTGAGGCAGTTGAACATCTTCAACATAAGAGTCCTAATAATTTCCAAAAGCAAGAGAAATGTTACTGAATCAAGTACTTTACTACAAATAAAGCAACAGGGCAGCATCAGTCTAAAATAAATCAAATTAATACAAATATATTACAAATAATATTACAAATAATATTACAATAATAACATAATCATAATCAGAAGTTTATTTGAAGGGTAGATACATTTTTTTTTAATATCAGGAGTCCATTTATTATTTAACTTCTAATATATAGGAAAAATAAGAATTGTAACAAATAAAAATTTAACCAGCTTTTATGGGAGAGTCCATAAATATATCCATATACTATATGTGTCATGAAGAATAATTCTAACAATTTGGACTTTATTCCTTCCAAACAGGAACATTACACAAAACTGTAAGGCACCTAAAAGTCAAATTGCAGAGCAGATTCAATATCAAGTTCTAGTTTTTAGTGTTTCTGGTGATTAGAAACAAATATTAAGGTATTATAGTACTGGAAGTGTTTGTAAGACTCCTCAGCTCAACACCCTGTGCCATCTTCACATATTATAAACAGTCTTTCTATTATTAAAATTCCACAGTCTGTATTTTAAAGATTTGTTCCAGCAAGCAATAAATGGACATGGCACCACCTGTGTTTTACTTATACAAAAAATCATCATGACTGACTTGCATTGATGCAAATGAGGAAAAAAAAATAGCCATGACTCGGTTACTGGCTACAGGGCAGCCCTAAGAAAATGTAGGAGCAAGTGCAGAAAGACAGAAGACCCTGATATGCAACACAGACAGAGAATAATTACGCTGCATGCAAGAAAGTCCAGTCTCGTTATGCATGTTACCAAATCTGGCCTTGCTGCTCAATTGCTCTGTCCGTGTGAGTCAGTTTGACTTACTGTTCACTCGAGAGTGAATGTGTGTCGAATTAGCAATAGGTTTTGTAGATTAGCTTTCCAAAGTATAGATTGGTATCACTATGTGTTAGACAACAGAAGTCAGCTGAAATCTTGCTAAATTTGGAACCCAGCAATGATGTGAATTGGTCTGTTTAGGTCTTTGAAAGACGATACTCTGAACTAGGTTTTCAATCAAAAAACCTAAAATACCTTAATTGAATAATACAAGATTTTCACCTGTTAGCTATTTTTTCCACTTTCTGTTTGTTTGAGGTTTTTTTAAACAAAAGGAGATTTTCAATGCTGGTATTTGAGAGTACACAACTAGAAACTAATTCCAAACCACATACAAAATAAAATTATGATTATAGACATACTATAGGCAAGCAGGTAACTGAAGCATGTCATTTTCTCCCCAGGTTAATGGTAATCATGTAACACAGATGACTGCTATGCTCTAGTATTCTGAAAATCGCTCAACACTCAATACAAGAATTCATATCCTAAGAAACAATAGCTTAAAACAAATATCCACACATACCAAACACTCCCTTTCATCCTTTTCTTCTTGAAAATGTGTCACTTCGATCCTAAAAATTTTTGCATCTTGGAGAAGTCGAATTGCAGAGAAAGCCAAAGCAACACTGTGATACAGAAAAATATTATTAAAAAGTACTAATTATATTTGTCATTTTATGCTTTTATTATAATAGATACTTCATTTCTGATGACATCAGAGATGTCTATCACCAGTTATGAATTTTTACTTCAAGAGAACAAAAAAATTGCACTTGGAATACATTTTGAATTTGTAGGTCCTGCAGTATGAAAGTGAGAAAGTAAGAGAAAAAGTTTTGCCAATAACAGACACAACCTGATAACAATTAATAAGCCAAGCTATATCATATTCTGTTGGAGCAATCAAAACAGAACTGCAGTACAACTTTCAGTTACACATATGTGTCTTCAGGGATGGGCTTTTGGAAATTAGAAGATGTAAAAATACCGAAAATGACAAAATATATTAGGAGAATTCTGTGTCTCAGCCACGACACCTTCCTCCTTAAAGCCTTTCCAGACTACATGTTAATCCTTTTGTTAAATCCACGTGACAAAACACTCAGAGGATCTTAGTAAACACCATCAACCAAAAATTGAGCCAGGTGCCACCCTGGCAAAACCTCATAAGCAATGACATGACATTGAGCCTGCTGCCCCCCGCCCCAATCATAAATCCTTTTCTGGAGTTCACTCCAAACAGCATCTAGAAAGACCGAGACACCATTAGGACTGGTGCAGCATTCATTCAACTCCACATTTCAAAAAATTGTGAGTTGGAATCCCAAAATATTGTCAAGTTTCTTAAAATACTAACTACTAGGGTTTTTTTTTCCTTTTTATGCTGTCTTTTTAAAGCTTTCAGATACACTGTTCAATTTTCATGACATCTATAGAAATGTTTACCTATAACAGCAGACTTTGTGAATACTATTATTTTCATGATATGAAGACACTTGCAAAACCATCATGAGATGATCTTTTTCACAACAGGATTTGCCCAAAGAACACGCTACTTAAAATATTCTGAGAACTGCCAAAACCAGTGTCTTATGATATTAGTCTTCCATTTCTAATTGTACATTTTCCCCTACATCTGTAAATCTCTACTTTCCTACCTCTTCACTAAAACATTTTTGGGGTTGGGTTTTTCTTTTACAATTCTACTCATTCTCTACCCAATGAAACATATTTTCCTAATGATGCAAAAGTACCTGAGGGTATCCCTAGCTTACCTCTTAAAGATTTTTCAGCAGGTTGATTGTTAAAAAAGTATAACCAAAATTCTCATCTACTCTGTCTTTTTTACATAGAGAGACTCTCTTTACATAGAGACTGGCTGCTATCAAGCAAAAGAAAAAAAAACAATTTATGAACACCTTAAGTCCTCTATACACTGCCAGAACACTGTAAAGAGCTTTTAATGCAAGAGAGATTAAGGCTTTGTGTGAATTTACTGCTTTTGAGAAGTTCTAGATTAATTGTTGTAAAGGCCTAGTTCTTGATTTATGCACAAAGAAGTCAGAACAAGAGCAGCACTATTCTGAAATTACTCACATTATTCTGCCAACGTGTATCTAACCAGAGAATGGATAACCTCCAGAGATAAGAGGGTAGTTAAAGTCTTCCTGTCATTTCAGATTCTATCCTGCTTGCTGTTTTTGTGAAGCTGAACTGGATGGATTACACCAATTCAGCACAAATAGACCCCAAAGTAACAATGAGAACCAAAACTGTTAATATCTTGCCTTTCAGCTCTCAGAATTCAATCCTTATGAATCTCCTTCATCATGCCTTTACCTCAGTTTTATTCAACAAAATGAAACCAGAATAAATCACAGTAGAATTTGATGATAACCTTCCCTCTAACAATGGAAAATATGAAACAGAATTTGCTTATAAAAGCAAAAGAGACAGTAAGGATAATGCAATGAAATATTCTAACTGCTTTTCTTTCTTTTTATTAAGAAGAGTTCTCCCCTGAAACCAGGCATCAAAGTTAAAATTACAGCAAAACCTGACATTTTTCAAAACATTGTTTGAGATGTATGGCTAACATTTCTCAAAGTTGGAAGGTGCAGCACCCAAGAGTATATACAGGCTTTTAAGGAATATTAACCTAACTTCCTGAGCATCACTGCCTCCAGTTAACTGCTGTTGTCAACATTTAGCAATTCTGAAAATGGGGCTGTTTTTACCTACATGTTTACATATAAATTTCATGAGTAAAATGGAGACCATAAGCCCAAAGGTTCAGATACGTATTGTTTTAAGCAGTAATGTATTCACATAAGCAGACAAGCACATATTTGGGTAATTAGAAACCTCACATGCTTAGGGGGGACACCATGTAAGTACTCTCCTTGAGATCAATCAGATTAGTCCTATACATAATCTTATTCTGAGGCATAAATTTTTTTGCAAGACAGAGGCTGTAATGGAGAAGCTTCCCTTGATGAAATTTTTGTGACCCTCTTCTGCTGTCAACAAGACTGATGTGTCTATATATTTCCCTTGACAAAATACACATCCTTTTATCAGCTGAATCAGAAAGTGACAAGATGATCAAAATAGGAAAGTACAGCTGACTATAACAATTTCACCACTAAGTCATTTTGCCAAAGGAAAAAAATGATGAATTTCTGTAATATCATGCAAAGTTTGATTTCTAGGCTGGCAGGCAGGAAACATTCAGCTGTCTGAAGGAATGTTTCATTTGTATCTGAGGCAGATATATCAGCACTTTCCGTGGATGGCAGTGCAATAAAATTGTAAAATAGGTTAAAAAAACCCCAACCCTTACTTTGTTTGTTGTTTGGGTGGGGCTTTTTTTCTGCTATCTGATCACTATCAATATATAAGGCCCATTAAACACCCATGAAAAATTTGAGAGTCCCCAAAAATGATCCATAGGATGCTTGACATCCATTGGAACCCTTGATACCCTAAAAAAGTTTCTTCAACATGAGACAAGTTAGAAGCCAAGAGAGAAACTACAATCTAGGCTATAACAGCATGTCTAAAAGAAGGGTCCTGCACTGAAAATGCAGCCCTAAAAAGGGCTATTCCTATTAATTGATCGCATGCATACTGAAAACAGTTTAGCAGGGTGAGGAAATTTGGGTCAGAACTCTACTAATACAGGTTTTACCGACCCTGGTATCAAGCCAACCTGGGCTTATGCACAGGATATTTCGTAAGTCCGAGTACTGGTCCTTAGATACTAATATGACAATTTTATGTCCACATGGCACTCAAAAGCACAATGAGGTCACTGTCCAGTGATTTGTTCTTTTCTCTTTGACAAATTTATGGTAAATTAATCTAATTGAAAAGGCACTGAAATAGATTAATATTTCATTATGAGAAATGTCCACAGATAGCCTACAAATTCTTAGTTCCCATATACACTAATGACATTACTACTAAATTATTACAGTCATAATAGCTGAACTTTCAGGAAACTTCTGGCTTTTAAAATAATGGAAGCAAAACCCGGGTGAATGACCATGCTGCAGTACTCTTACTGTTTTCAGTTCAGTAGTCTGTACAGCACTGTGAAGCTCCAGTCCTTGTTAATTTTATTTTTTTTATTGCTGTACCATAGCAGCTAAAAAGGAATTGTGCTATTTAAAGGCTATCTGATTTGGAGGTTTGCTTATTCACATAAGACAACTGGGAGAAGGAAGATAGTTTGCCTTTGACATAGAAGAAAACATTTTATTTTGTTAAATGGGTAAAAAGGAAAAAAGAAAGCCTTGAGACTGGTTTATGTGTTGGCCAGCTGAATCACCTACCACTTCATCAGTAAGACTGTCACAGCAATCTTCACCAGTATTCCAACAATTAAAAAACATTAATTTTGCTTTTTGCTTGGTGCTTACTATAAAGTTTAAGATTTACTGTAATAATTTTGGTGCGTTTAGTCAGATCAGACCTAACAGAAGTTACAAATACTGATTACACTCTACTTAATCTCAATATAGTCTGGCAAGTGACAGCGCTACACCTCTATATGCTGCATTTCTAGTTAACAATTTATACCCTCAAAGATTTCTCAGCCTAAGAAAAAAATGAGATTAAAAGAGCTTGACACTAATAAAAATGATGTATTGTTTAAGTATTATCCTTCGTATACAAATTAATTTAAAATTACAGGTATATTAAACAGAAGAATCCTCCTAGCTGAAAGATCAAAACCATGCTCAGAATTTAACTTCTACAAAGAGATAATATATATCTGTATGCCCCATAAGGTCAAAGAACAGCACAGCTGTAATTTTATTAAGTTGTCCAAAAGAAATCAGAAACTCAAAAAAAAAAAAAATCACAGAATTCGGAAATTATAATTTGGAGGAAATATCTGGCAGATCATGTAAATACAACAGTATTTTATACACTATCACTAACAATATAATTAATGCCCGCTAAAATCTATTCTAATATGTTAAAGGTTACATCGATGCTTTTTAATCAAATTAATTTAAAACCCATAATTTTAACATCTTAACTTGACACCAATAAGTACATCAAGAGGAAATGTTCTTTGAGGACAGTAACCCAGGGCATTCTAGAACAAAGTAGAATTCGGTAGTTCAGAGATAACATTAATACTCCGCTGTACACTTTCAAATTATAAAAACCTCATGACCTAACATATCCAGACTTTTACTTTAACAAAAACAGTGAACATTGCAGCTTTTTCTTTGATTGTATAACACTGGATCACAGAAACACCTCCCAGAGAAATCATAGGCCAATAACTGATAAGCTTTTTAAAAGTAAAATAAAACAATAATAAAAAATGAAATGCTAGTGTAACTTACATTTGTAGCTATACTAGTGGGGTTGTTATGACTGGTTAATATTAATGTAGACATAAAGGATTCAAATTAAAAATTGCTGGATTTTTTTTTTTTAATCTTCTGTAGTCAAGGCTGTGCAACATAAGTTTGTTCATAATATTGCTTACGTGAAAGCTGCTTGGTGCCTTTGCTGAGAAATAGCAGCAAGCTGAAGTTTGGCCTCAATAACAGCCTCTAAATCTTCAGCAGAACAGCGAGATATCTCCCCATCATATTTGTCCTGTATGTTCTGTACAAGATGGCTGAGACTTTCTTCAGCTTCTGTCAATAAAATCCCCTAATGAAAGAAATAAAAAATTTCTTCAAAAGTATTTCATTCTGTTAAAGCCTATAATCACTGCACCCTAAAACAAATCAACTTGAATACATTATGCCTTTTATATAAAAAGCAGGGGGGGATAATTTTGCTTTTTTCAGGTTTACAGATTCAATGTGTTGAAAGTAGCAACATGTGCCTGTGCCTGTATTACTGCATTTTATACATTTTAAACTACATATTTTATGGCTTAGCAGTATTACTCAATAACTTCTCATTCTTGTCTTTATCTTGTAGCTACACTTGATAATTTTATACTATACTTTAGTATGCTTAGTAATTTTAAAAAATACAATGTTAAGATACAACATTAAAGATGTTTCAAGAAGTATTACATTCTTCTATTACAAAGCTGTTAGAAGCTGTGAAAACCTAATCTAAAAGAAAGTTAATTTTAAATATAATCTCAATCACAGAGCTTTCAGCAGAATTCAAAAATAATTCACAGGTTTGTATCATCCAGTATCTTTTTTTGACCAGTTTCCTCAATTAATTCAGAGGTCTACTTAAAAAAAAATCCAAAAGAACAGAATAGTTAAAGAAAAATCAGAAGGGTAAGAAATATGTCTCTTAAATGAGCCCCATTCAAATTATTTTGACATTTGTATTTTATTTATTTTCAAGATGCTCTTTTCAAGTTATTTTCAAGCTACACCAAAACTTTCAAGTTTCTAGTGTATGGCATATAGCAATTGCCACACAAAATCATCAGATGTATTTTGTACATTACTTTGTTTGTAACAATGGTCAAAGTGGAGGACCCCTCTGGAAGAAGAATACGTCAGCCCTCAGTTTTGGTCTTTTGTGATGTGAAACTGCCAAGCAATTTAACAAAACAAAAACTAAACCCAAAACCAACCAACCAAACAAACAAAAGCCCTTCGAACAAAGAATCTGATACGCTGTGGTATATTTTCTCCAAAATAAAGTATCAGAAAGAGGAATGGGAAAAATTTGAGACATTTCACATACAGTAGAGAACGGTATTCCATATATTTGTAGAGCATACTGCCCCATCAAAGAGTCTCTGACATGTTCTACATGTGCCACCCTCTAAAAGGAGATTATTTTATCCTTGAAACCCCGTTCAGTCTTTATCCTTGTTGCTGTAACAGTCATACTGAGATCTGATCGTGACAATATTTCCTGACAATATTTCCCATGGATGTTTATATAGCATAAACTAGACCATTTGAAAAACTGCACCAAACCATCAAGACTTCATGTATGCCTAGTAAGATTACAATCAAACTAGGAACAGAAATTTCTAGTCCCCTTATTCATGCCACCCTCCCATCATAATTTCTATTTCATTGAAAGCATTAGCAATGTTTTTTGAACAATCTGCAGTTTATTAAGCCTTTTTTTCCTAAAAATCAAAATTACCTTCAGCATGGCCATATTTAATTCATCTTTACAGTCAACGAGCTGCACCATTTTGCCTCTTTGTTCCTGTTGTCTTGAATTCTTATCAGCATCACCTGTCAAACATATTTCAGATGAAACTTCAGATAACATATGCAGAACCAAAGCATTCTTGGCAATTTGAAGAATATGCCCCTTTTTTCTCTATTTATAAATGAGACTTTCAAAATCAAAATAAGTGAGGAAGAATGGAATATAGATCTAATAATACCAGCAATATTAGGTAAAAAAAACTTGAAAAACCTTAATGCTTATTATTTGAATAATGACTGATTTTTTCCAGCAACATTTAATATGAATATTGTTTATAATATGACACGTTAATGCATATGCAGTTAAAAGTGGAAAATCTATGCCTGAAACAAGTTGCAGTATAAATGCACTTTTACACTACCCTAATAATTACCTTTTACATTTGACGCTGTAATTCTGCTTGGCTCCTTCAAGCTGTTGTTATCAACAGAATAGATGTGTTTTTCCACTTTTTCAGGTATATTATTTATTGTGGCAGAAAGGCAAATGATGAAATGCATTTTGGCTAAGGTTAATTTGTTCATAATTTGTTCGTTGCACAGTGGCACCATTGTTAAAGACAGACTCCCATTAAATATGTCTTCCAGTACCTACAAGAAAGTTAACAATTGGGACTACTTAAAATGACATATTTTACATTTTTATTATTTCAGGCATATTCTGCTTCTATTAATAATAACGTTTATAACAATAACATGAATAATATTAGCAATGTGTTCTTGGTCATTATGGATAAGTTGCTGGTTTCTTTTCCAAGATTAATTCACCACTTAGTAGCACTTGCTACAGTCTCAGCGATCAGTTTTCCAGTATAAGGTGCATCTATGAAGTTATAGTTATTACTCTGTGTGAATTTTAGTTTTCTGCATTGTCCATAACATTCTTTGAGCTACGGTGGTCACAAAAAATACGTAGGTAAATCTCTAGTTCAGAAATCTCAACTCAAAGGAAAGCCTGTTCTTACAGTTCACCCTAACTAGAAAGATTAAGCAAGGAAAAAAATTCTTGTATCAGAACATTCTAGCGTATTTCATAGAATCTTTTTGTTATTCATTATAGCATCCTTGTTTTATCTTGAGTTTAATATTCTCACTTTAGATTAATAAATTTAGAAGTTGAAAGTCTACACAGCTTTGCAAAATCATAAGGAGACCAATAAGAGCCCCATATAGACTGTGAAGTGTTCAAATCAAAAGCTCAAGGTAAAGCAGAATTTCAAAATAAATCTGAAACTGGTGAGATCAAAAGCTGTCAAGATAGACATCTCATTTCTGTATTCTAATATCGACTGTTGTAGGAGACACACAAGCTTACTGTAAACAAAAGATAGAAAAGTGGAGGAAGAAGCGCGTTTTTTCTACTTTATCAGTTTGTTGTTATGGTATAACTTCTTCTCCACATTCTGCTAACATTGACCCCTACTGGCTCAATGGATCTGTGACAACGCAAGTGAAAGAAAATTATTAAAACTGAAAACCAAAAAAGAATTCATTGATGAACATGTGATTTTAATTAAAATGAGAAATGACTGTTGATTAACTAGTTTAGAGATTCACCTCCCCCCTCCCCCCCGAAATGGACTTCAACCCTAATCTGAATTAGGACAAATCTATGAAGACAGCTCTGATTGACAGAAATTATAAGGCTAGATCACTGATGTTCTTGGTATTTTAGTAGGATAAATACCAGACCCTACATATCATAACAAAACCTGAATAATTCCACTGGTATACTTTGCACAGACAAGTCACAGATTTGTATGTATTAGGTCTCCCATCTGAAAAATGTTGATAATGGTACTTGCCTCTCCCTTGAGAGATCAGCCATAAAATTTAAAATTTAGAAAATGGTAAACTGTTGAGGAGCATATGATTATATTTAATGGTTTGTACTAATAATAAGTATATTTCCTGAACCAAGTAATCTCTAACTGATGCCAGAGAAATAAATATTTATGCCTAGCATAAAATTTTTAGCTCTTTCAGATTCTTTTTACCTGTAAATTTGTAACAGTCAGGAGAGATTTCGAGGAGTCAAATTTCTGTAAATCCTGTCAAATGGAAAAAAAAAACAAAAAACAAACCAAAAATAAGTAATGTGTTACAATATGAATATAAAATAAGTGAGCTAGCAGAGCAGTGAACAAATATAGTGTTTCCAACTATACTTTGTGGGCTCTGAAAATATCAACAATTACTTCGCTTCTGTGGGTTTTACATTTCTGAACTGTAACCCAAGACCCAGAACTATCCCTACACCTCCTATGCCATTCACCAGGATTCTTCAACTTGAAGCAAAGGGAGAAAAAGGCATAAACCAACAAAATCCTAATCCAAATCCTAGGAGCTCTATAAAGACCAACCATCAATTACCTTTATGTTCTTTACATTTCTGAATCCCAAACTAATTCCAGACTTAGCACATGCCACCTCTGCCATTCACCAGAGCACAGATCTATGAATAGGACAAAAATAAGAGCTACAGGTCAAGACGAACTTCAGACCTTAGCCTCCTTAACGGCTCTAAAACCAACTATTTATTCGCTTATAGGTGTTTCAATTTTCTGAATCCTAACCCTAGTTCTAGTCCTTGCTCAAAAACCTTTTCACCAGGAGACTAATCAGTCTGCTGAGTGGAAGCACCTGGATGAAAAGAAGATTATCAGAAGTAGTCAACATGGATTCACCAAGGGGAAGTCATGTCTGACTAATCTGATAGCCTTCTATGACAAAGTAACTAGATGGGTGGATGAGGGGAGGGCAGTGGATGTTGTCTACCTTGACTTTGGCAAGGCTTTCGACACTGTCTCCCACATCATCCTCACAGGAAAGCTTAGGAAGTGTGGCTTAGATGAATGGACGGTGAGGTGGATTGAGAACTGGCTCACAGATAGAGCTCAGAGGGTTGTGGTTAGTGGCGCAGAGTCTAGTTGGAGGTTAGTAACAAGTGGTGTCCCTCAGGGGTCAGTACTGGGCCCAGTTTTGTTCAACATATTCATCAATGATCTGGATGAAGGGATAGAGTGTACCATCAGCAAGTTTGCTGATGACACAAAACTGGGAGGAGTGGCTGACACGCCAGAAGGCTGTGCTGCCTTACAGCGTGACCTCGCCAGGCTGGAGAGTTGGGCAGAAAGAAACCTTATGAAGTTCAACAAGGGTAAGTGTAGGGTACTGCACCTGGGGAGGAATAACCCCATGCACCAGTACAGGTTGGGGGCTGACCTCCTGGAGAGCAGCTCTGTGGAGAGGGACCTGGGAGTCCTGGTGGACAACAGGATGACCATGAGCCAGCAATGTGCCCTGGCGGCCAAGAAGGCGAATGGCATCCTGGGGTGCATCAAGAAGAGTGTGGCCAGCAGGTCGAGGGAGGTCATCCTCCCCCTCTACTCTGCCCTGGTGAGACCGCATCTGGAGTACTGTGTCCAGTTCTGGGCTCCCCAGTTCAAGAAAGACAGGGAACTGCTGGAGAGGGTCCAGCAAAGGGCAACAAAGATGATTAGGGGACTGGAGCACCTTTCTTATGAGGAAAGGCTGAGGGACTTGGGTCTCTTTAGTCTAGAGAAAAGAAGATTGAGGGGGGATCTTATTAATACATACAAATACTTAATGGGAGGATGCCAGGGGGATGGGAGTAGTCTTTTTTCAGTGGCACCCAGTGATAGGACGAGGGGTAATGGGCATAAACTTGAACATAGGAAGTTCCATCTTAACATGAGAAGGAACTTCTTTACTTTGAGGGTAGTGGAGCACTGGAACAGGCTGCCCAGAGAGGTGGTGGAGTCTCCCACTCTGGAGACATTCAAAACCCGCCTGGACGCTGTCCTGTGTAACGTGCTGTAGGTGACCCTGCTCTGGCAGGAGGGTTGGACTAGATGATCTCCAGAGGTCCCTTCCAACCCTAACAATTCTGTGAATTCTGTGAATTCTGTGAAGGAAAAGGCAGAGGTAAAGATCAGTTCCAGCCTTCTTCATAACTGAGAGCACTACACACAACTGTCACTTAGGTTCTACATGTTTTTTATTACTCTGTTATTAATTCTATACTCCAGATGTAGCCCTCTGTCATCTCTGTCATTCCCTGGAACACGGGTCTTTCTTATTCTGAGCAAAAGTCCAGCAAGCACTTGGCTTCTACATGCATCACACCCTAACCAGAGACCTAACGCTGAACCTCCTCTGCTGTTCACCTGAACACTCACCTGTGAACCCAGTTAGAAAAAGACAAGTGACAAATCAACCAGACCTCATCCTAACTCTGTAAGCTCTTCAGACAATACACAAATTAAGCAAAGGACTTAAAGATGCATTTTGACCTGACTAGCATCAGTAAGGAGTAAATGCATTCCTTACTGTAGCCATGAACAGGGAAGCTTTGCAGAATCAACTCCAGTGAGCATGCTGATAACTCTTTATGGCTCAATCTAGTGAGAATGTAATATAGCTTGTGCTCTGAGAAAAACCACTAGATTTCAGTTTCTTATCTTCCCATGCAGTTAGTATGAAAGTGTCATTGGGGAATTAAAAAGGTTATCTTTTCTTATAAATATTTTAATTTTACTATTTAAGTTCATGTTTCATTTAAAACGTAGTACCACTGCAGGTTATTCTAGAAGTGCTTGTCCATATTTCTGTTTTTTTTAAATGTAAGCATTTGACATCCTATCATAAATGTAATCGTAATTATTCCCTTATTATTTAGCTTAGGCATTGATTTGTTGGCTATTGCCAAAAGAGATACTGCAGCTCTGTGCTGGTTATAGCCATTGTGAGGCTGCAGGGTAAGGACAGTCAGCCCATGGGTCGGCTGGAAACTCCCTTTCAGGGTTTGGGGAGGTGGGAGGGGGGAAATTTCCCTTCAAATCAGCTCATTAAACTAATTTTGTTCTGCAATGCCAGCTTCACTGTCTACAACACAGGGTAAGAGAAGCAAATGTACAGTCATGGAGGTGGGTTAGGAATTCCTCTTTCAGCACCACCCTGTAATTATCACCAGATTAGAAATATCAACTTATTGCATGTATAGAACGTCGCTGTACAATCAAGTTAAACCCAAGTTAAAAGCTGCTGTCAAAAGGGGTGTCCCTACCTGTCCCACTAGTCTTCTATCACGTGTTCAGTCCAGCTCCCTCATGCTGGCACACATACTTTGTCATGGGGTGACACCTACCCAAAAGCACCACTCAGATAAGGGAGACCTTGATTACAGCTGTCCAGCAATAACTTATTAGATTATTTTTTATGTGCTTGGAAAACAAGGAAAGGCTATGTAATTGTTTTAGGGGAGGCTTGCCTGATAGCTCTGGACTGTATCTGCCTGCACAGGTATGCTCACAGGTAAGACAAAGCAGCCCAGGTCAGTTGTTAACAGCGTCGTAACCTTGTAGCACATTAGGGATCAAGGTAAGATCACTACTTGTCTTTAGATATGGAGAGAATCAAAGAGATTGACCTGGGGTGATGTGACTGTCAAGGCTCTGAGGGCACCACTAGCTCTTACTGCCCAGCATGTCCCAGGCCTCCCTGCACTGTGGCCAGGTCCCAGAACCCCATTTCAGCGCAGGGCCGGTCTCCAGCTGCCCACTCCTGGCTGGGGCAGTGAGAATTTTGCCATCAATGAGGCAAGAACTCTATCCATATTATTTATGTCTACATATGAAATCACACATTATTTTTTTAATAGTATTATCTGCATTACTCACTGTATAAAACAGCACGGATGTTTAAAATTTTATTTTTGTTCCTGCTGTTCAGTGAGAGAAATGAACGTCATTCAATGTCTACTATCTGACCTGCCTATTGAAAGAAATGTAGGATTTTTTGATGAATATGTAATAACTTGCAGACATGGAGTACATGCAGTTCCATGAAGAACACTGAGTGTTACAGTTTGATATTATACTTTACTGGTGTTCACCTTCATTTGTTCAATTTTTCTGTATCCTGCAGGTATTTTCCATGGAATTCTCTCTCCGCAATTAAGCAAAGACAGTTCATGAAAGGCCTCCATAAAAAATCCTATATCTGTAAGTACTTTAATCTGTGAAAATATAACAGAGACTTTGATTTAAATAATCTTCAGTTATTCTTTTTGCTCAAAATAAAATGTATTCAAATGTAATTTTCAAGTAGATTTGGCTACTGGAATAGTACATTGATGGAGAATGTTCTTCAATGGAAAGAAATATTTTAGATTTTTTACTAAATAAGTGACACCTCAAAGATGGGTCTTTCCCATTTAAAACCAAAAATGAAAAAAAAACCCAACACAAAACCACAAAACAAAAATGTATTCTTCAAAAACTTGCTTCTGAAAAGAACTTAATTCATCTGGCTAGAGCTTTGAATGTCAGACAAATCTGACACAGATTTTACTCATCTTAGTCTCGTCGTACTGAGCTACTCTCCCTAACCCATATCTGCATTTCCCGAAAATATCTAAACCCAATATTTCAACTCTTACTACAAGTTTGATTCCTTTAAAAAAAACAACCAACAACCACCAAAGGATTTAAAAAAAATATTCCAAAACTAAACCAGCAAGAGAACATTAGTGAAATTACAAAAGTCTGTTCCCAGAAGTCTGACAAACTGGTTTCACCACGCTACTGAGAGCAAATCAATAAATGAACATTGTCAACAAAAAAACATTTATGTTTTGCACTTAGGAAAACATTTAATAGAATGGTGGAACAAGATAAAATATACCAAGTAAAAAATTTGGATCTAAGGGGAAAAATCTTAAGAGCATATCTTTAAGGAGAATACTTGTTAAATGAAGAGTAGAAAGAAATGATGGAAGTAATTAACAGCCTCTATAGGACATTAATAGTAAAACGGTATAAATAAGTCTACATGCTACAAAAATTGAGAATATAAATAATAATTGCATTTAGAAAGTTGTCCTATTCTATAACCTGTTGTGCTAAGGAACACTAAGAAATAGCTGAACTTTAAAGCATTACTTTTCATAGTAGTGATACATGAAGACATATTGAATCAACTACACCTAACAAAGAAATTAAAATTTTATTTGAAATACAATATGCTGTGATAAAAATAAAGTTTCTTTGATTACCTTGAAGATTCTTCCTTCAATGCACTTAGCTGGGTCCTTACAAATCTCAGAAACAATGTATTGGTATAATGTGAACAATGGTAAAATCTGTAGGAAAGTATTAGATTATCTAGTTATAAATGTCTTAAAGGTACAATTATAGAAATATTGCAATTATATATCAGAAACATATAGATAATATAACAGTACTGCTTTCACTGTGCCGTACCACCACTACTTGTCTTAAGCTCTGTGAAGGATGAATGTATTAAAAAGTACTTCAGCTGGCTAAAGCTAACACCTTCTACTATCTTATATGTGATTCACAATGTAGAAAGTGAAGTTTTCCCAAATTAATCTCTGTGTTCAAGGTGGGGTTTTTACTACACCATTAGTGAGTAAGCCTACTGGAAAGATGGTGATATACGGGATTTCTAAAACTGTCTGCATTTTGATGCCATAATTTTTTCACTTTAAGTAACAGAATAATAGAATTCTGTGAGCTTTATAAAATAAATAGAATGAAGGCCTGGAATTTCCTTAGTGAAATGATACTAATTGTAAAATAAACTAGATGGTGATGAGACTTATTGACACATTTATTTGCATTCATTTCAAATTGAAAGTTTTTATAGGGGCAACTAACAAAAAACATTTTAAAACTGAGTTCTAGTAAAGTATACAAACACTGTGTTTGTTATTATATAATCTTTCAGAAAAAGCAGATTCTTTCCTAACAGATGTATTTGTTTATTGAAAATGAAAGAATTTCCAAAATTTAATTACTGTTCAGCTTTTACATTTTTCTTCACTTTAAAATGTCCCCAGGCTTAGAAAATGCTAACAGCATTGTTACTTTCTTGTCAAATGCACTTTTAGTTTTTCATAAAGTAGCTTAATACTTCTGAATTTGGATTACAAATGCCTGAGGCAAATGTTTTAATTGTACCCATACAGTTTCCAACTGATATTGGAAGTAGTTCAACAAAATTAGTCTTTGAAGACTTATTTTTAATAAAACTTGAATCTTGATGTATTTTGATTTAAGTGTCAAATCAACTTGGTGCTCACCATCCAAAAAAAACATTCGAACACATTAAGCATTCAGTGGAAATGAAGCTCTCACCCTGCTGAAACTGCAATTGCTTTCACCATGATCTATGACCTGGATCTATATTCTGCTAGTAAAGTGCAGAAAGAATCAAAAATGTGCATGGCCATGTGAAGCAAACAGTCGAATTAAGTTTCCCTGCCTCCAGGTAACTGTCTGCTCCTTGGTCTCACTTGATCTCCCATAGCGAGGGCAGTTAGACAAAGCTTAATAACAAACTGAACTCCAGTAAAGCAGGATGGGAAGAAGCAACAACAGGAGGTAAGACAGACACTTAGTCTGAAGTTTCAGAAGAAATCAATCCAACACATCGCTTTCTGATAAAAAAGGGGTAACATCTTGCTGCCTCCTCCTCTCTAACTCCTCTTCCATCTCCACTCCCTAACCTTTTCTTACTCCCCTGCCACCAGCCACGCAATCTTTTCCCCTCCTTTGCACTGGCTCTTCCACTTGCAGGACCTTTCTATAAGTGGAATCAACTCATTAAAGCAGGAGAAAACTATCTATTTTTTCTGCTGGGGAGTTTTCTGTCATGCTGAGAGTTGATTTACAGAGGTATAAAACAATCACCTGACATGAAAATCTATTAGAGCATACAGGACCAAACAGGAACAGAGGTAGAATTGCAGCTTTTTCTGTACTTGCAAGCAATTAAATCTATTTATTCCAATGTACAGCACTGCACTTTTGAAAGAAGTTGGGTTAAAGTGGAACTGGCCAGTAATTAAATGGAGGAAACAAACACATGATTAATATAACAGGGAAGCTGTAAAACCATTCCATACAGACGAATAAGAGAATGTGAGAAGGAGAAAAGCAGAAAAGACTATTATTTACTGCACGTGAAAGTAAAATTATTGAAAGCATTCTGGACATACTGCATTTAAGGTAATTCTCTAAAATGCCTGAGCTAAGTGGACCATGTATTGTCATCTTTCCAAAAAAACAAGTACCCAGTATATTCTAAAAATTGCAGGCAGCAAGCTATACCTTGCCTCTATCTCAGTGGCACAGAAACTAGCCATACAGGTATTTTGCAAGAGCTTCTGACCTATCTCGTAAGTACACCCACACAGAAAAATAAGACTTCGTGTCTTAAAATTCATTTCCAGAGTATAAATACAATACTTACTATTAAATTTTGCTTTGCACAATGTAGTTCAAACATAAGGAAATTCAGACTTGCAACTACAGTGGAGATATCAGCTCTGTAGCGATCAGAGAACAAGTCGATACCAGGAATAAGCATATTTGTTTCATATTGTGCAAAGTCACAATCAGACATTGGATGTGGAAGAGAAGCTCTAAACAGGGCCTGAAAGTAATAATAATGAACTACTTGTGAAAAGATGTATAGCTATTAGTGAAACACTACAAAACTCCAACCCTTGACACTCATAAATTACTTCATAAATGAACTTAAGTATCCAGTTGTTTCCAGACAAAACCATGAAAAATCTTTTTAGAAAAAATGCTTTATGTGTGAACTTGATGGAGAAAAAAAACAAGCTATAAATAGTCTAAGGACAGTATTTCATAGAACAAGCAAAAGAGAAAACCTAATATAGGTGTAGAAAAATAATAATGAAAGATTCTTTAGCAAGTACTCCCCAGGAAATGAAAAATCTTCCTAAAGAGCCAATGGCGTTTCTCTCAGATTCCAAGACAAAGCATCCCAAATAAATCTCTGGAAGCACTGGAAAAAAACTAATAAATCACTAGAGGTTCTCTAAAGGACTTCTTAGATAATTCTTAGGACAAGCCTCTGATCAGCACACAGAAAGAACTCAATAATTTATTCAAAGATCTCCATAATCAAGGAAAATGCATAGTATTTTGAGATGATTCTGGGGATGTGTTCAAACATTTCTGTACCAGTCCAAGGATGTTTCATGGAAAATGTCTTCCATCAGAAGAAAAATCTTTTTATTTTCCCCACAAGCTAAGAAAGTCAGTTTGATTTTACTTACCTCTAACTCCTTGTCCCACCATCATCTCAGTCATTGTTTCTGGGAGAGCTGCTGACTTTAAGGCCAGTTAAAAGCTAGTTCCACCCTAGTTCTGCCTTTAACTAGGTCAGCCAGTGCAGCTTAAATCATATAATGTAAAACTGATACGAACTTTAAGGAAGGAAGTAACTTACATGTTCCTCCTTTAAAAAGGGAGGAGTGCTAACATTGTCTCTGATGTTGGATATTTCTTCCCGATTGTGTTTATCTTCTTGTAATTAGCAATGATATGCTAGAGAAATACACATTTACATACTCAGATCTGAGATATTAACAAGCCTAAAGCCTGTACCAGAGGTGGAATTTAAATAAGGTTATCAAAGCTTTCCAAATTGAGGAACAAATTATGGGCTTGAACTTCGCAAGGTACAGTGACAGTAATTGATTATATTTTTCAAGACACTCACCCTGCAAGCTGCTCCTATCCCAATTAATATCAGACCCACTTCAGTCAAGCCACAATTATTTCTACCATTATACAACTGGAACAAATGCTTACTACTATTTCTGTCAAAAGGAGGAATCAAAATTGTTCAGCTTTGTACCACCAGCAAGTACAGTGCTAGAAGTTAGTCAAAATTCTTCTTTATCTTTTTTTCTTCAACTTGTTCTCCCTTTGCTGAACTGAAAAAGGTTTTAAACATGGCCTAGCACAGGTCACAACCATGGCACAAGATGTTAGAAACTGGCATTGGTTTGTTTTGGAAGATGCCAACTAACTTCCGTATGCAGCATTGGGATGAGTAAGCATTGATCCCAGTGGAGTATGACTGGCAGAATACTTGCAGTTCTTTTTCCTGTATCACTTTTGTTACTGGTATCTTAAAAATTCCTTTTAAAAGTAAACTGAAACCCTTTTTTCCTTTATAGTTGGTTGTTAAAAGTTTGAAAACTTATTTTTAATGATCTTATTTTCTTTGTAAATGAAACAGAATCATTTTGAGTATCCTCTCTTTTTAGAGCAAAGTTCTTATACAGCTGAGATTTTAGTATTACAAAGCAATATTGTTCAGTGTTAAAAAGGTTCAAAAGTTTCTTTTTCTAAAGAGTATGTTCTCCTGGTTGAAAATTTATGACAATCCGTGAAGACTGTGTACAGATCTGACAGAGAGCACTCTGCTATTGTTGATGTCATCCAGCTATTCCTCAGCAGAACACTTCAAGAGAAGAAAAATACATTTGACTGCCAAATATTTTATATTTTTGTTGTACTTTAGCCATCTTCACTTTTCAGTATTTCATTATTTCTCTGAGACACTAGCCTCTTACTGAAGTGGTAATTTTTAGGCTATTATACAGGAATAATGTTAAAAAACAGAGAACAGAAACATCTAATCTAATGTGCATAAATTGTCAACTACCTCTGATCTCCAGTTTTCCTTTACAATCAAAATGAAAAGAGAAATATTTTAAGTGTTATTGAGATTTGAATTTTAGTACCAATTTGTCAACTTCATGAATTCTAAGTGAAATTGTATTCTTACCTTAAAAAGTATAGCTGAAAAATAGCAGTATTTAGTTCTTAATCTCATATTTGATGTTGTTATATACCTAAAGTACAACAAATAATAAGAAATATGAATGTGCCCATCAATATATTTATTCAAACTCTTTTTTTTTAATCTATTATAATAATGATACTAACACAATCTAGATGTTTTCCATATTGGAAAACAGCTGCCTGTTGTGTAGATAGGTGCTCAGCCATGCCATGCAAAGAAAGAAGTATTTGACAAAAGACGCATCTAGACATGGGGAGTTATCTAGATTCACTTTAAAGATAGAGGAGAGAAACAGGCAACCTAAGTGCAAAATTCATCTCATACAAAACTAGAAAGACAAAGCAGATCAAGCAACTCACACCTTAAAGTGTTTCCATAAAGGAAGCCTAAGCTAACTAGCACATGAGTACTTTCACATGGTAGGCGTCTAGCTAGATTAAATGAATCCCACAAAGTACATCATCAGAGCTTTAAACCATCCTGGTAGCGGGGTACTCCTCTGATCTACAATATTAGAACTCTTTAATACAATATTAGAATCCTCTAATCTGCATTTTACAGCCTGAGATTAAATTGCTCTAGAAAGAGCAACTCAAGAGAAAGATATTTAAAAGCCCAGTCAGGTCTGAACAGAAAAGATCTGCCTGAGGGAGAAGCCAAGAGGATCATTCTCTCCAAATCCCTGCCAGGATTTGGAATGGATATCAGCAGCAAAGGGATAGTATACAGTGCAGCAAATAGGTGTCACAAGCACCTGTAAAAGCACCTAGGGACTGGGTTGTGCCTAATTGGACCTGAGATTGTACCACAGCTCAGAAATAGAAGATCTATGGTTTAGAATTAACTTCAACTCACTCCTTTTTCTCTTGGCTGCTAATTCCTAGTGTGACACTGCCATTTCATCCTGAAATACCCATGCTAATACTTTCAAAGCTACCTTGGTTTTCAGATATTTTACACTGCTATTAATATGCCCTGCTTCTCAGGTAAGACAGTTTACTCAGATGAAGCTCTGCCCTTTCATGGGTATAATGCTTCTAAGGTAATTTAGAGCTGGCTTAAGTATTTCTAAATTTTACATTTTGTACAGTTTTATATTGTACAATACATTGACGAACAGCTCAGAATTATATCCATAGTGTTTTACCAGCAGTCAAGCAGTACTGGACAGAAATATTTATTGATGGTAGACTTTAATACAGTAATTCAAATTTCATTTAGTTGTAATTCACCAGAAAATAAGTGCTTTAGGCAGTAAATCTACCCTCAAGATACATTAATATTTAATATATGCAATGACTTGCGAGATGTGATATTTCAATTGAAAATCAATATGACTGTAAAATCCTTGTGCTTATGACTTTTTATTATTTTGTTTTATTTCAATGATCTCTCCATAAAATATAAAGCTGCAATTACAATCAAAGATGAGCACTCAAGAAAAGGGAACAAACAACATTCTCCAAAAGAGCAACTTTCTTCCTGAAAGGAAAAATTCCTCTGCTTTTGATGAGTCTTTTCTTATAGCAACTCATTAGTGTTTTTAACTTAATTTCAAGTTGCCTACTATCCTGGATAAGCAATTTGTTTAACATATGAAAGAAATACATATATAGATAAAATACTTACTGAGCTATCTTAGCCACTAAGACTGCTGCATGTAAACATCCCCAAACACCAGCCTGAGAAAGAAATTTCTGACTAATATCAGTCGATCTTTCAACTGCAAAGCAGTCTGTAGCATTTTTTGGAAAACCTAACTCTTGCCAGTGGTTAAGAGCATCAGGAATGTTGAGTGTTTCATCAAGGGCTTGACACCAATATTCAAAAGCAACTCTGTAACACATAAAAAACATACTCATCATATTGCTGACATTTTCCAAAGTGGAAGATAAGACTCACTTCATTTTACCTTTATTCCCTGAGTTATAACTAATTCTGATTAGGTCAAAAGCTGAAATACAGTTTCTACAACACAAAAAGATACCATACCTGGTCAACAGACTTATTGGGACTTAGAATAAAATTTAATTGTCAAGCAATAGATATTATTTCCTAAAACCACACAGACATCCTTAATTAATTTATTTAATTGCAATTAGCTAGCTAAGAAAAATAAACAATTTATAGAAAAAAAGCCTCTCAAAATATAGCTAATAGTGAGTTAGAAGAAAGAAGTTATATGGGCTTGTGGACAGTACAAGAACGTACAGGACAGTTGAAGGGTATATGAATGCCAATTAAAAAAAAAGAAATCATGTTCTTTTTTAATCCAATAACTATGTACCTTTTGTTTCCAGCATAAAAGTGAAGATTTCCAAGTTCATGTAGAGCCTGAACCTTGAGGTCTCTCTGGTTGTTTATTTCAAGGATTCCTGTTATTTATTTTTTAATCAATTAGAAAAAATATTGTCACGTCATTAAATCAGTTACTGAATCTTGAAAAAATTTTGCATGAGAAGTAGACAGGCATTCACATGTAATTCAATGCATGAATATTTTTGTACAGATTTATTGGGCTTGCATATTTTACCATCAAATGTACAATTTCTTATTTTTACTAAATTTAAAACAAGAGTAGGATATATTTGTGCACCTGTTTACCTAAGCTTTTATTTTTGTTTTCTCAGACTTATCAAATTTCTTCAAGATATAAACTGGGAAGCAGGCCATTGACCAGGGCCCTGCTAAACAACACTGCCTGCATATAGGACAGTAACACTGCCCCTGTCATTTCCACATCCCTTACTTCAAATAAAGCCACTTATGGCATCTGTTCACCTGCTACACTTCACCTATTATGTCATACAGCTAAAACAGGTAAGCCGGACCTGTATGAGTAAAGCCACGCTAGAACGTAAGATGGATGCCAAGCACCTAGGTCTCATACTCAAATGCACAGACCCTGAAAGGTCTGTTTCCTAGAAAAAAAACCTATCATGGAATTGAAATTAATCTGCTGAACATTACAGCAGATTTTTAATTTGGGATGAATCGGTATAACACCACTGAAGTAATGCTTTTTCATAAAATGAGATAACTGTAGAGGTTATGAACCAACTACTGGCTTGTTTAGGATCTAATGCAGATTTTCTGAATCAACAGAAAGAAGGTTATATATTTCTGGAAACCACCTTTCAGGCAGTTATAACTGACAGAGGAAAATAACACTGGAATAAACATATACGAACACAGATAGGCAGAATGATATTACATGTTAGCTGTACACAAAAATTTATTTTAAAAATTACCAATTGTTTGTTCATAGGAAGAGATAACGACTGAAAGCTGTGACCGTGGTATTGGTTTACTCTCAACCATACTGGAGAAATTAAATTTTTCTTGAGAAATGTCACGTGGTGTTGGTAGAAATATCAGTTCAGGTCCCACACTAAATTCCAGCCTTCTATTTGAAGAGATATGACAGCTGACTCCTCTTTCCGCATTTTCTAGATCAGAAAAGTGGTTTATATGGTCAGTTTGGAGAAGTATTGTACTATTTCCAGCACCACAAATATTTCTCAAATATTATTCAAATAAATACATGATTCCTGTGTCCCCTACTTTTATCTGGTTTCCTATGTTATGATTCTGTCTTTGTGTCTCCTAATAAAACTTATTGGACATAACTCATTTGTCAATCCAACCAAATGAAAATATGTGCCCTGTTAGAGAAAGAAACTCAGGAAGACCTGCCAATCAGTTGTCTGACAGAAGTTTTGCTGCAGACAGACAAGTGACACAACTGGATGAAAAAATAAATTTATCATCTATCCATGAGACACAAATCATAGGAAATCAGGCTTAGAGATCGTGCTTACAGAACTTCATAACTTTATAACCTATGTTTTTTCTAATTGTCAATAATAACTAAAATTTGATTTTTTAAAAAAAATCTATTCCTTTCACTGTATACTTTTTAAACTGCATATACACTTTAGTAAATGAGAAACAAATAAATAACTCACCTTGCGTGTGTGCAAGAAATAATGAAAGTAGTTTTCTGCTGTGTCTCAGTGCTCTGCAGTGATATTTAGTTTTTTGCAGAGTTTCTCTAAAACATTTCAGTGTATCATTCACATCAAGAGGTACATAAACTAGAGCTTTTGCTTGACTGCAATCTAAAAGGAATTAAATTATGAAGAACAATTTTACATTACATAAATATATATTTTTAGTAAATCACCCCACAAAACATATATTTGAACAATTCCACAACTTCAAAACTAAAATATATAAATGTAATTGTCACCTTTTTTTCCTGTTGGATTATGAATTAAAGCAAAATTATTAAGGACCAGGAACACTTTTTATCTTTTTCAGTGCTAAATTTTAGTTGTCACATGACATCTATATTCCCTGAATTATATTTGCCCTGGGCATGTATCACCTCAGTCCTCTGCTCTGAATTCTGGTGTTTGAAGTCTGGAAACATCTTTTGCTACAACTGCTGATCCCATTTACTATAATTCCACAGTTTCTCTTTACCAAACCTGTGAGTTGGCATGCTCTCTCCACTGACTGTATAGTACTATCTACTCTTACATACAACATTATTTATTGTTTAATGACTTTTCTCAGCTGAATTCAACACAAAGCCTTGTGTGCAATGCCTTGACATCGCTGTGATATGAGGAACTATGCTTTACAAACTGTCATTAATGACTATAAAACTTTAATCCTGACTGGAAAGTACAACAACTGTGGGTAAAAGAGCTGTTTTGTCACCTTATAGTTCACTTCAGTTTTTCTATTGATTCTAATAATAACAGTGCAAGTTCACATTAACTTCTGGGTATATTGCTGGATGTCCAACAATACTCACAAAAAACTGGACCAAGACCAGCAAGCTCACTCAACATATTGTAAGTCACCTGGCATCTGGATGACAGCTGCTTTTCTCTGCTTTCAGATACAGTCTGAATATATTTGGAAAGGTCTTGACAACATTACTATCCATCCAAATTATCAAGAATAATAATTTGAAGACAAAACTGAGTTTATATTAAAAGAAACAGGTTATAGGAGCAGTGGAAGACCTATGATAAGGAGGAAGAAAAATATTTGGTTTGGGGGAAAAGAGAACTCGCGATACTGAAATGTGCTCTGACCTGTATAATCATTTTTCATCTCAGGATAGCAAAAGCATCCAGCAAAAATCTGTTCATTAGCAGAATGGGCGACAGGCAGCTGTAATTTCTGCCCTATGTAGTTTCTGCAACTCATCTAAAAAACAAGTTTTGTTTGATGATAACTGAATAAGATTCAGAAAAATCAGTGTTTTGTACTTCAGTATCTAAATACACAGTCGTATGACAAAATAAAAAAGGACTAATTTACCAAAGACACCAATGACCCATAACTACTATCCATGTCAGTTAGAGGTGAAAAATTCACCTAAATATTGGATGTAACATATACATGTTTAAACGTTAATGAATTAAACTGGTATTTGCCATAATCATGAGCAACTTGTTGACGTTCAGCATGCATTCCACCTTTCTTTGTCTGGACAAATGCATGCTTGCAAAGAACTTGTCAGTGTAAGTATGCCTAAAGGGCACACTGTCTGTAAAACACAATGTAATGCTGCATAGGGATATACAAAATAGCTCTAAGCAAACAACAGAAGCAGTCCAAACCTGTCAGAGAAGCGAACATCCAGACTTCTGTAAAGGGCTAATCCAGCACAGACATTTTATTTTGCTAATGTAGCTACATCACTTCAGAAGCAAAAGAACCAATTCAGAGCTAGTTCTAGTGTCTCTGAATGGCACTGCATTGCGAAATGTAGCCATACCCTCCACATTTCTAACCTGATGGTGTTTTTTTTGAACAATCCTTATTACTATTATCTAACATTGGTCTTTATTCTGTAAATTGTCTTTCAAACCTATGATTACTTTTCCACGTTGCTCACATTACAGCAGTATGTGGTGGTTTGCCACACTGCTCTTTTTATAGACAGAGGACTATGTTCTGAACAGCAGAGCT